GGGAATTTATTTTCAGGCGTCATTTACTAAAATGATATTAAATCAACTTTTATATCATTTTTTTTTATATGTTCAAAAAATGGTTATAGAATCAAAATACCCAAAAATCTAAAAATTGATTTTTTTCAGTTGTGTGCCACCTTAAACTAATACGGATAAAAAAACTTTTAAGAAATATTCTGCTTAAAAGTTAATATATATATATATATATATATATATATATATATATATATATATATATATATATATATATATATATATATATATATATATATATATATATATATATATATATATGTATATATATATATATATATATATATATATATACATATATATATATATACATATATATATGTATATTTATATATATATATATATATATACATATATATATATATATATATATATATATATATATATATATATATATGTATATATATATATATATGTTTTTTTTAGGTTAAAGCTGTTTTAGTATTTAATTGGCCATCCTTTGTTTCTTATGACTTCCGCACATCTAGAAGGCATACTATCTACAAGTCTTTTTAATAAGTCATTTGGCAAAGCATTCCAACCATCAAGAAAAATTTGGAACAGATCATCTTCATTTGTTGCCCTACGATCTTGCAATTTTTTATCCAAAACAGACCAAAGGTTTTCTATTGGATTTAAATTAGGAGATTGTGCTGGCCAAGACATAACCGGACTCAATTTAGATTCTAGATATCTTTTATTCAAACGTGCTGTATGTTTGGGATCATTATCCTGTTGAAAGATATAGGTACCATTAGGAAAAAGTTCTTTTATACTTGGTCCAAGCTGGTTTAACTAAGATTTTGTGATACAAATGCTGGTCCATAATGCCCTTCACCCGGTAAAGTTTTCCAACTTTGTGTGCACTAAAACAACCCCAGACATTAATCTTTTTGTCATGTTTAATAGTTGCCTTGCACGTTTGAGGATTGAATTTTTTCCCAATTAATTTCCAACGGTGAGATTGACCATTATAATACATAACAAATGGAGACTCATCGCTCTAGATAACGTTAGCCCATTGTTCACATGTCCAATTTTTGTGCTCAATGCACCACTTTACACGCTTTTTTCAATTGATTTCACTAACAAAAGGTTTTTTAATTTGCTTTCCAGAAAAAAAATCACTTGGTGCTTTAATCCTGCGAGATATTGTCCACTTTGAGATATTAGTAAGTTTCAAATCTAGTTTTATCTCAGAACGAGTAGTTTTACGATTTTTTTTGACAGCATTAAGAATGTAGCGATCTTCCTTTTTTGAAGTTTTCGGTTTTCTCTCAGATCCAACAGCCCTTTTAGTTTTACCAGTGTATTTTTATTTCTTTACCAATCTACTAATAGTTGAGTTTTCTCGTTTAAAACGCTTTCCAATGCTTCTGTGAGACTCTCCTTGGTCAGCAGCTTCAATAATTCGTCCAATTTCTACATCTGTAAAATGTTTTCTAAAATATTAAATGTGTCCATAATAATCTGTTTTTTAAAGATTTTATTTATATAAATATTAGTTTATATATAAACTTTTCTGCCCTATATTTTTCACTGCCACATCCAATTTTTTTTGTTTTGCATTATTATACATTTTATGCTTAAAATATAAAAAAAAAAATAGTATGGCATTTTTTTTGCATCCCACTGTATATATATATATATATATATATATATATATATATATATATATATATATATATATATATATATATATATATATATATATATATATATATATATATACTACTACTACTACTACTACTACTACTACTACTACTACTACTACTACTACTACTACTACTACTACTACTACTACTACTACTACTACTAATATATATATATATATATATATAGTTTTTTTACGTCATACAAGTTTATACAACAAAAAAGAGATTATGATCACGGTGGTGATGGTAGTTCAACTTTAAATTTGATTATAATACATTAGTTTCTAAACATACTCACGAGTTTTCAATTTTAGTTGTTTTCAACTACAACAAATTAATTTATTCAACTTTTTACCAATCCTATGATAACAATATCCATAAAGATATTCTTCAAGTATATGAAATATTTGAACAGAAAATTTAGAGGATGTTCAAAAAGTTGAACTGTGGTGTTATTATCGAAGAGTTTCAAAAAACAAAGTAAAAATATCATACAAAACAAGGCTACTAAATTCCTAATCATTTGTCAAAAGCGAAATCTTAGGTTATTTCCACTAAAGAAGTTCAAGTCTTTGTTAATGACTTGTTTAATGACTTGGTTAATAGCTTGGTTAATAGCTTGATATCCTTCGATTCCAATTGACAGAGTCATTCTTGTAATTACTGACACTCAATAATGATAAAGATGAATGGAAAAAAACTAAGATACCTATTAATGGTACTCACCGATTAATTGAACTCTCTCTAAGCAAATGGTGCTTTTTATACAAAAATGTAATTAAAATTATACCGAATTCTGGCCCTATTGGACTATTACTTATGTTCGTTGTTGCTGAGGCATTTTTGCAACATTTGGAAACGAAAACTTTGAAACTAGCAAAAATAAACTTATTCTAACTAAAGTCATACAAAAGGTTTGTAGATGACAGCCATGCAAAACTTGATTCATTAGAAAAATGCGACTATTTCTTAGATTTGTTAAATCAACAAGATCCTGAAGTTTAATACACACTGGAAGTAGAAAACAAAAGGAAAGAAATAAATTTTTTTAGATATAACAGTAATAAATAGTAATTTCCACAATGATTTTAAAATCATTTGAAAATCAGCAATTACGAATATACAAATAAAATTAAATTCAAACATCAATCCTGCAATAACTTTTGGAGTCTTTAAAGGTTTTATATCAAGGGCCTCAAAATTTTGTTACCTTTGTTCAATTCAGAACTAAAATGTTTGTCGAAAATGACCATAAAAGATGAGAATTAATACTTTTAATAAAAAGTTATTACAAAATCATTTTTGTTGATATAGCTGCAGATAAAACAGAGAATGGTTACATAACAATAATCTTCCATGGATTTCAAAACTAGGATTAACATTAAGGAAAGTCCTCAGAAGATACGGTGTTAAAGTTGTATTTAGATCACCTCCAACTTTATAAAAAATTTTATGTAATAACAAATCCAAACTATTAAATATCAAATATAATATAAACCATTAAATAGCAATTCAGGTGTGTATAAGCTTATGTGTTCATGCTGTGACATTGGATATGCTTATGTGTTCATACTGTGGCATTGGATATGCTTATGTGTTCATGCTGTGGCATTGGATAAACTTATGTGTTCGTGCTGTGGGATTGGATTAAAAAAAAAGAAAATTATAAATAGGTAAACAGCATGAAAGGCAATTGGTATACTTCCGGAGCCACAGAACACTACAAGGATTGCCACAGTATATTTTATTGGGTGCACCCCAAACAATTGCATTTAATTTCAACTACTGTGAAAAAAAAGAAAGAGTATCAATTATGCCTAAACGAATTACAAGATACAGCACTTCCTACCGCTTTTGAGCAAGGACAACAATGCTAAAATTGCGTTAAATAGCTGGAGATCTTTTTTCAAAGAAATTATCGAAATCTTGAAATAGATTTCACCTAATATCAATTTATCTTTATAACGTCTTCGTAACAGTTTTTTTATACATTTTTTATGATATTTTTAATGTATTTTATTTTATGTCTGACAACAATCTGAGTTACTTAGACTAAAATATCACATAAATAATTTAAAAATTAGTATTTAGCTGCATTTTATGATTTATATATTAAATTTTTTAAAACTAAAAATACATTTTCACGGACAAACATTAAATCGCGTTATAATAAGAAACATTTTATCGAGTTTTAGCAGTGAAATTAGTAAAAATGAATATGAAAATAACAGATTATCTCACAGCAGTGACAGATCAAGGCTTTTTTGGCGTTTAAGATGGCTAACTTCTAGACATGGAGCAAACTCCAAACATTAGTATGTTTATGCTTTTATAATAAGGAATTACTTATTGAAAGTCTTTTTTTTAAATTTAAACAGTTAATTTTGATAAAATACCGGGTTTCAAACGAGTAAATTGAAAAAAAATCAATAAAATATTTTTTTAGCGGTTTTGTTATACAGGTACTCAATTGGGCGTCTGTAGAAACTTTTAGAAGTATTTCATAGATTAATCAAAGTGCAATGAAAACCTTACTAATTGAAAGTGTGATTAAATTCATTGAAAGTGTGATTAAATTCATCGAAAGTGTGATTAAATTCATTGAAAGTGTGATTAAATTGAAAGTGTGATTAAATTCATTGAAAGTGTGATTAAATTCATTGAAAGTGTGATTAAATTCATTGAAAGTGTGATTAAATTGAAAGTGTGATTAAATTGAAAGTGTGATTAAATTGAAAGTGTGATTAAATTGAAAGTGTGATTAAATTGAAAGTGTGATTAAATTGAAAGTGTGATTAAATTGAAAGTGTGATTAAATTGAAAGTGTGATTAAATTGAAAGTGTGATTAAATTGAAAGTGTGATTAAATTCATTTTATTGATTGATGATTACCAGTCTTGATTTTACTTTTAGATTTATTTATTATTTATTTTTTTTTAATTGAGAAAATGATTGCTTTTTTTCAAAAAGTACCTATTACAATACGATTACAATAACCGATTTAAACTTTTTTGAATTCTGTCAATAACTGGATTAGAGTCAAATAAACTAAATTTGTTTTAAATTAACTAAACCGATTAAAATATGAAAAAAACTGTGCAATTCGTTTTTATATTGTCTTGATAAAAAAGGTACTGACCTTGTAAAAAGATCATTACTAAAGCAGTTCGGAATCGGCTTGAAAAAAGCTAATGCTATCCTTGTGATATGTATTCTGCAATTTTTTATAAAAAGTTGAGTCTATTTTTTTTTTCTATAAATTTATTTATAACCTGTTATGCACTGACTTTAGAACGGCAACCGATTTACCTGGAAGAACGTTTTTCAGTATAAGCAGTGGAGTTTTTTCTGGAAATTGAGCTTCAATTCGAACTTCTTTAAACTCAACCCAACGTGTACCGGCATAATTTTCAAATGAGATATTAGCAGGAACCGATAAAGTAAATTGTCGATTACTGGGAATATTTGAAATGATTACAATGGCGCTGACACTATGAATAATTGACTCATTGACCACTGTTAAACCATCGCACTGTAGATAATAAAAATGAGAAACGAAAAAAACTCATTAGATTTTCTTCTATCAAAAGAAAATTATCCAATTTAAGTTTTTTATTTGCAAGTATTAGTTAAAATACAAAAAATATGCAAAAAAAAATTTAAAATAAATGGAAAAAATAAACAACATACTTGGAAATACGAACGCGAAATATCTCGTACAAATCTTGTCTGTGAGTTTTGCAATGTTAGCTTCAAAAACGATGGCATTAAATACCCAATCGTCAAATTATAAACATTTTCGCTTAGCTGAGAACCAGTATTGATTGTTAAATTCAAAGTCAACAAAGTGCTGATATCCATACATAAAAAATTATAAATGTTTACATTATTGCTTAATGTGAATATTTATATATATGAGCAATTAATTGATTGTTTTTCCAATCAAAATAAAACATAAAACTAGAATTTACTGTATTATATATATATATATATATATATATATTCGGTAACTCGATTTTGAAAGACAAAATTTGAAACTATTAATGTGTTATTCAATGTTTTAAAAACAAATTAGAAGCAAGTTAAAGATAATGTTGCTGTTATAGATAATAAAAACAAATTAGGGACAAGTTTTTATTTGTAGATGGAAAATAATAAATGTATGAAAAATTTCTGATGATTTGTAAAGCGTCCTTATTTAAAATGCTTAAGATAATTATCAACGAAACTTATTGAAAACAGCAGTACTGTCCAAATATATTAGTGCAAAAAGCTGTTACAGTGAAAGTGAAAGTGAAAGTGAAAGTGCAAAATACCGTAAAAGCAGAATAAAAACTCTTACTTTGATGACAGCAGATAAAATATCTTACACTAAGAGATATTTTATCTGCTGTCATCAAAGTAAGAGTTTTTATTTATACAACTTTTTTATTTTATACAGTTTGATACAGATTTTTAAAATTGCTCACAACATCATTTTTATGATGGATGTGTTTAACAACTTATTGAAAAGGAGAGTTAGATTTCACACACTAAATGACTTGGACAATAAAACAAGACAGTAAAATTGAGTACACTTGTATTGCTGAAAACATGGTTCACAAAAGTAAAATTGATAATTATTTTATATGCTTTAAGATTAACTTATATTCATTTTAAAATGTTAAAGTAGTTATTTAAAAGATAGGGGAGATTTAAAACTTCCTGGTGGCACATTGCACAAGTGGATGTTTTTGTTCACATTTTATTTAAAATCATTTGCAGCAGAATCTGTTATACTCACAGCCATATGACATTGAGCAATAAACACTCTTTAAATTTGATTACTTTTTAATGAATGATGCAAAAAAGCTGAACATGGACATCAACCATTAAAGCTAAATTCACAACAAGTTTTACAGACAAAAAACTTGTTAAAAAAGGCGTTCATTCTTAAGATATCAATAATGTCAACTAAACATATTGATAAAATATTTAATATGAAAAAGTTTCAAATAGAAGTATACTGTTATAATGTTAATAGGTAACGTTTTTCTAGGAAAGCGGTAATTACCAGCAGTGCACACAAATAATTATTAAATTATTTGTCGGCAGCGCGATTTAAGAAACTTTTTAAAAATAATAAATATATTCCTGCAGTAATTTTGGAGCGTGGAAAATTGCTTAAACTATGTATAGTAATATATATTTATTTTAATAAACCATTTTCCAGCAGCGTTAAAAAAAGTCCTTTAAATAATTGACTGCTTGCTCAAACTAACCCTCAGCCAATGAATGAACTCTTTCTACGTGCTTATCACTATCAAAATTAGTGGGTTTATGTGCATTCACTTTTCTCATCCTATTTTAGTTAATCTTTGTATATAGACTCCGCTGCACCTATCTGAAATCAGTCGAAGTATGCATACTCCGCTTTTCCTGTTTTTCACAAAACTAAATAATTTTCACAAAAAAAACAAACTCCAATAATTGAAACTCAGAATACCGCATTTACTATTGTTTGACTTATCCACTGAGAAATGTTAACAATTAATGGCGGCAATTAACCTCATAATTATTTCCCAGCACTGCCAGTACATACCTAGTTCGGTTTATTTACCTCTCGCATAACCTTGTATGAACAACAACCAATATTTTTTTTTATATCATTTAAATATTAACTTTTTTTCCGTATAAAAACTGTCTTTCTTGAGTTTTTGTTTCTGCTTATTGAGCTTTTGTATTACTCAGTTTCTTAAGGTGGAAATAAGCATCAATTGTTAATTAAAAAAAAAAAAAATAAGGTAGGGTTTTGAAGAAATATTATTTTACCACGCCCTTTTTAACAGTACAAGAAGGATAAAATAAAAACAAGGGTCTAATAACAGGAAAGTCTAAGGAACGTTTAGGGAACTAAGAAAAAAACTTTAGTTTATTAGTAACGTCAGATTTCTTAACAAACTTTTTTAATGGGAATAACTTTTTTTTTCAAATTAAATAAAATTTATTTTCCAAATCCCAGTTATATATATTCAAATATATTTATTATTATTCTCATGCCAATATATTTTTATTCATTTTAGATATAAAAATGTTTAACTAAAATTTATTTTTTTCATTTTATAAACTTTTTCAAAAAGATATAAAATATATATTACCTATTCAAAAAACCATTGAAATTGATTATCAATTTTGGATGGTAAAGCAATGCGTGTTCAGGTATTGCATCTATAAAAGTATTTTTTCTATTAAATGATGATTTTATTAATTTAAACATATATATTTAAAAAATTTAATGATAATTTTATTTATTTAAACATTATTAGAAAATATTTATTTAAACATATTAGAAAAAATTGTTTTCACAACTTTTAGTTTTAAATTTTTTAAATTCTATTTTGACTTTTTTAAACTTCACAATTTATTTTTTCAAAAAGTTTATAAATGCATGAGTTTTAAAAATAAACGTAATTATGTGAAAAAAAATGCATGAGATTTAAAAATAAACGTAATTATGTGAAAAAAAATGCATGAGTTTTAAAAATAAACGTAATTATGTGAAATAAAATAGTCTAAATAGAAAAATAAAAACACTTTTAACGAAAGCCCTAAAAAATAGCCAAAAACTTATTATGGTTATTTTTTCGGAAATGGGTTAAAGGTCCCACCCTAAAACCTGTCATTAGGGCCCCAAACTCTTATTAAACTTTTATAATTAGATATATATATATAAAAAAATCTTCTCAAACTTGAAAAAGAGTTTTTTGCTAATTTGCCTAACTTTGCTATTAATTTTATTATTTTTTAAAATTTTATTTTATCATGATCTTAAAGAACAACTTCATTTACAATCACAGGCAAATGTTAGGAGGACACCGCAAAAGTTGAGTCCATATTAAAAGCGAAGAACTTTTTTTTTAAAAGCCTTTCAGGACCTTTATTATTTTATGAAAGTTATCTTGAGACAAAAATATGATGTAACTATCATTTAATTGCAAAAAACATTTATTTAAACTTGAATGTCTAATCAGATTGATTTGTTTTAACAGAAATAGCGCGATTTAGGGGAGAGTGGATTAAAACGGGCCTCTATCAAATCTCTTGCTTAGACAATAATTATTATAAATTTAACTGTAGAATATTGTGCAGCAGGCTATAAACATTTAAGATAACCATCCAAAAAGTAGTGTTTTTTTATTGTTATTTTTTGGCAAAATATTATTTTTGTACTTTTGAAATTTTATTGAGCTAAATATTTTTTACTGTAATTGTAAATAAACACTTATTCTTATTGTGTTTTTTTGATGTTTTTTATAATTTTAACCTGTTATCTTTTTATTTGGACAAGATTTACATGAAAATAGCTTAACAACATTTTTCACCAAAATAATTACTAACACACTCCAAACCGGTTTAAATGAGCCCCAGGGCTCATTTCACCTGTGCAGTTATAAAGGTTTAAGTTCAATATAAAGCAACCGCCGCGTATTTGTATTTTTTAAATTTATAAACTTATATTCATGTCATTTTTATTATAACTTGTACATTTTTGTAAAAATATGCAAAACCTTATTTATAGCCTTTGCAAATTTTTTCTTAAATATAGCCTTTGGAAAATTTTCTTAATTATAGCCTTTGGAACTTTTTTTTCCAATTTTTATTAAGTACAATATATACATAATATTTAAATTTATAATATTGAACTAAATCTAAACGTTATTTTAAAATTTGCGTATTTTAAATGATATATTTAGAGTTTAGTGGTATATAATTAATTTTTTTTTGTTGTAAAATGTATACCATTTGACGTTTTATAAATTGATTGAATTGGACTGAATATATAATTTTTTTCCTACCAATTCCTTTTGTTTTAGATATGGGGAATTATGTTAGAAAAAAAGAAAGACAGTGTTGGAGTGAGAGGTCTATCTCATTAGTTATTGAGGCCATAAGAAAGAAAAAATAAGATTAAAAAAATCACGTAAAAAGTTCAATGTACCACGGAGCACTTTGCTAAGAAGGCATAGACATAGTTTTTACAAGCCTTGTTGAAATCAATTCAATCAGTAAAATCTGTGTTTTCTATAAAAATGGAAAATAAGATTGTGACTCATATCTAGCCAATGAAAACTATGCTATTTGGTTTAACACCCCAAGTTCTGCGTAAAGTTTTGCTTACCAGTTTGCTTAACTTAACAATCTCCTTAAAAGATTCAGTTAAAGTAAACAAGCTGGTGCTAATTGATTTTGTGGATTTTTGACTTCAATCCCACAATTATCTGTAAAAACAGCAGAGCTTACTTCTGCAGTTAAAAACACAAGGCTTTAATCAAGTCAGTGTTAGAAAGCATTTTGATTTATTGCAAGCAGTGCAAGTAAAAGGTAACTTTTTTTGGATTGATTTCATAATGTCGATGAAACAGGCATCCCTACTGTTCCAAATGAGCCATCAAAATTAATTGCTATTTATTGACAGAAGCAGGTTTAATTTGTGACTTCTGCTAAGTATGTGCAGTTGGTTAAAATGGAAATTTGCATGATTACATCGGGCAATTTTTTGCCACCTTTATTGTTTTTCAAAGAGTTTCCATGAAGTTTGAACTAATGGAAACTGTGCCAACCAGTTTGGTTGCTATTTGCCACCCATCAAATTGAATGCAAAGTGATATATTTATTATTTGGTTTATACACTTCGTAAAACTCTTTTCTAGCCCAACAGATTATGAATCTAAAAGTATTAATCTAGCTTTCCAAAAAATCGTTGTTTTATTGTGTTTTCCGCCACATTGTAGCCATAGTATTTAACCTTTAGATGTAACTTTTATTAAGTCTATAATGACCTATATTGTGAGTCCATAATTCACAAGAGGTTGAAATTAGCTGAGAAATCATCCTGAACGAGAACAATTTGTCAAATAGTCGAACTGTTTAATAATAGCTACTTGCATGCAGCATCTCCTATCACTGTTGTTAATGATTTTGTTTAGACTGGATATTTTGTTTAGACTGGATTTTCCTGCTCAATTGAAATGTTTTTGCAGACAACAATTTTGCTTTAGCACTTTCAACTGATATTCCTTTGCTGAATAAAAAAACAACAATAGAAGATATTCCTGTACAAACATTATTCTTGCCGCAGTAGATTGCTCAAAATGAGAATCTGCTTATTGAGATTCAGGCCTCAGAAATTGTAAGGCAAGTTATTAATCATTTTCTGACATAAAATTTTAACTTTTCAGAGCTAGTTGTGCCACTAACAATGTCAAATAAAAACGAATATTCTCTTACAGAAATTTCTGCTATTCCAAAGTTAATACTTTGTGTAAAAAAAATCATCAGCACATGGGTTTAATGCTATTTTAACAAGCAGTTCATACAAATATGATTTCAAAAAAAACAAAATACAAAGACTATAAAGATATTATTAACAGGAAAACGAGGTTATTTTTGTAAACCATGAAATTGAAGTGTTCTTTAATCTTGTACAAACATAGGATAGTGAGCCTGACAGCTTTTTATAAAACTATAAATAACAAAAATAGAGTGTAATACTTCTAATTATTGTTTTTACTATTTTTTTAAGTTTAAGGAAATGGGAGATCTCCTGATATTTGTGTCAGTTCTCATAGCACTTCTTAATCGCCTATTGATGACGGATTGCTTGATGTTTCAACGTCGCCTGGGATTTGCATCACAAATGAAAAAGAAAGTATGGTGTGTTTTCCAGCTTTATCTGAAAATATTCAGAATTCAAGAGGACTGGTAACAATAATGAAACTACTGGTCCTATCATCATATTTTATGAGCTACCTCATTGAAATCGCACAGGCAACAACTTGATTGAATACCTTGTGCAAAATCCACTAAAGTTGAAACTAGAAGAACTAGATTCATCTAGCTCATGGTTTTGCATCAGTAATTGCTCTTCTATTTTCTATTAAAATTATCGAAGAAAATAAAATGCGTGACTGGCTAACGTTTTCCAAAGTAAAAGATAGTATATATTTCTGGCCATGTTTTTTTTCTAAATTCCAAGAGCATGTTGGCAATCAAAGATGGGTTTTGGAATTGGTAACACGCGCTGAATTTGCTCACTAATCATGAAAAGTCAGCAGAACATAACCAAAATATTGCAAACTTTGTCAGTCAAAGTGACACTAGTACCCAAATCGATTGAACCTGCTAGTTAGAAATTTGACCACAATCAAATTTCTTGCTAGCAGGTACTTCATTACATTATAATAAGCCAATTGGTTCAAAACACAATAGAAATTGTATAGATGTGCTTAAATTCCTAGCCAAACATGACCCATTTCTGGTAGAACATCTTAAAACTTGTGGAAACAAAGGAAAGAATAGTATTTTTACAAACCAATATTTGTGAAAATTTTATCAAGAGTATTGCTGATTAAGTTGTAAAGACCGTTAGTAGGTTTCAATATCTCTTTAAGAACCATGCAGTCATAAAAATAGTTTCTGAAATCGGGAACATTTTTTATGAATATTTTTTACTTAGAGAAGAGTAGAGGAACTTAACGAACCGAAATATTTTTCTATCATTTTGCTCAACTCCTTATATCGCCCATACGGACCAAATTGTTTCGTGATTTACTATGTTCTTCTATCTGGCACTCCAGTTAAACGTTTCTTGTCATTCATTCAAATGACATGCCATATTGTTACCTTAATGCTAAATATTGTGATTCTAGCTTGTGGCGCTTGGAGCAAATGTTCATGGCAGTAGCAGTCAGTCTTGCGACAAGGCAAGCTACATGTCTGGCATCTTGCGACAAAATAAAATACTTTGTAAGCAAGTATTACGCAGTTGAATACTTGGGCAGATTACTCTTCATGTTTTGCCTACTTTTTAAATCTTGTTGGTGAGCATGTAGCATCTTCCCACGCCGTATTAGATTTTATTTTTGGTTTTTTTCAGGCTCTCTACAAATTCATTTTTGGATCCACTCATTGTTGGTCGGTTTCTATTCCACATTAAGTTCCGACAACCATATATCAATAAAGCTCAAAATCAAAAATTAAAAAAAAAATCTCTCGCAAGCCAGATGGTCAGTTTATGCTGATGCCTTTGGTGCCCTACGAGATGGATTCCAAAATATTAATGTATTGAGATTTTTAAAAAATAAATCAGTTTTATTTAAAAATTTTACAAAGTTTTGTATTTTTCCCCAAAGGAGTTAGAAGTGTTGGGATTAGACAACATGCGGCCGCAAAAGCACGATCTGAAGCTAAAGGGCTTACCAAGAAAGTGGAACTTATGGAGACTGCGGTTATAACCATAATCTGGAGTTCTATTATGAAGAGATCTAATAAGGTTACAGAATACTTCAAGCCGTTGATATTAACTTTGGAGGTGTTGAAGTACTTTACAGATCCTTTTTTGCTTTTTTGGAAAATATGATGTCCAATAATTATTATTATGAGGAAGAAGCAAAAGCCTACGTCAATACAAAAGAGTATTTATGAATACCAAGCGCCTTTGGGATTGCAATGGAAACGAAAATGAAATTACGAAAGCTAATGACACCACCTTTATTGAAAGATTTAAAATGGTGTCATCAGCATCATGGATCTGCTTATGAGCAAGTTGGAAAAAAGGAAATTAGCCTATTTCTTTTTACAAGCTACATAAACTTGATCCTGACTCCAACTCTAGTCGTGTAGCCACACTTGTTGTCCCATATCCCAATGACATGGATTTATTCATTGGAAACGAGTAAATCATTTACAAAAACTCGTTTTAACAGAAGATTTGGTTGGAAACTTATTAGAAATGATAGAGGCCGGCTGGAGCTAAAGGTTATTATTTACAATAAATGAAAAATTAAATACAAATACTATAATAATGTCCCCTTTACAATAAATAAAAGTTATAAACTCATTTACAATAACTTGTATAAAATGGGTGCAGGTGTCATAGCATGAAAAAGTAAACCTGTGATTCATCACTTTTACAAGATCAAGAGAACTTTGCAGAAAATTAATTAGTCTCATTATCAAAAATCGAATTTCACAAACAATAATACATAATGTAACAGTAGTTTAGATTCAACATGAAATACCGTACAACAAGAGCAAAATTCAAAACTTATTATTTTGTATAAGATATTAAATTTATGTCCTTTAGGGTATTAAAATGTTCCAGTAATAGGTCAGTATAGATCAACTATTTATTGGTTAAAAAATTATAATTTAACTTACGTGTAAATGCCAACTCGATACTCATAACAACAATGTATTGCGCTTGCTAACTAGGCATACTATGAAAAGGTTTGTAGGAATCTATTTATATGGAGAAAGTTCAAATACAAATGCATTCGATTTATACATTAGGCCCAGCCTCCTGTATTGGAGGTTACATACATCCTGTTCATCTGAATTTCTAAAAAATTATTTAAGTAGACAGATTTATTAACAAATAGGTTTGTTTTTTGTTGGAATAATTTACAGGAATGAGTAGTGCAGTGTAGATTAGTTAAATTTTCAAATCTAACCTTAAACTAATTGATTTACACAGTGACAGATCCAGGAGGGGGGTGCAGGAGGGGAGGAATAGGATTATACATCCCCCCTCCTTCCTTACAGGATCTGAAAGTCCTAAAAAATCTTAGAAACAAAGAACTGCTTTTGTTTTTTTTTCTTTAGGAGACGCAAATGTGATCATTTGCGTCTCCTAAAGAAAAACATTCACAAAATGCTTTTAATTATGAGTATCTCGAGAAAATTAATTGTTTTATTTTTTTCGATTATTTTTAGTTTAGTGATATATTTTAAATTGATTTATTCGAATAATTTATTTAATATATTGATTAATTTATTGAAAGACTTTAATAATTTTTATTGATAGATGTTGGGATTACTTTTTTTTTTTGCTGAAATGAAATAATATGTAAGTTAAAATTTTTCTGTGTTTGATTATCTGTGATATTCAAATAAACTTGTATATTTTTCAAGTTCAAAGTTAACTATAAATTAGCGTTACTGGCAACAATGGTAACAATATTTTGTAGACTTTTGATAAAACCATTATTAAATAATAAAAAGAGCCTGAATAAAATTTTAGATAAAAACGCATTTTATTTTAAATAATTATGAGTGGTTATTTGTATCAGTAAATTGCATTGTTGTATTTTTTGCATGATTAAAGTACATTAAAGTTATTTTTTATTTCCAGTTATTTTTTTGAAAAAAACCATGTGTTCGTTTTTTTGAGAAACATTTTAACTCGTCATTTAAGGAATCAAATGTTTTTAGCATAATGGGAATACTTTCGATCATATTAAAATTTTAGATATAGATAAGAGCAATTAAGATTAAAATTGACTAAAATTCTTTTTGTTATGTTTAAAGAGAATAAACAGTGGATATCTCTAAATTAAACATACTTTCAAATTTTTTGAGTTGCAAATAGTAGATAATAGATACAACCAAAAAATTTATGGCAAGTAAAATAAAAAAAGTTTTATAAGTTGTTCCTAAGTTTTAGGCCTTGTGACTGACAATGCTGTGAGCATGTATGAAAAATGCATGAGTTTGCCTAAAAAACTGTTATCCCTCACTTCATTGCTGCAGCTGCATTACACATGGTCTTAATTTGTTATTGAGATTAAAACTTTTTTGACTTTTTAAAATTTTAAGTGCTTTGATGTCTGAAGCAATCCAGCAAACATTTTAGCAAAATTCCAGTAGACCTATGTAAGCATTTTGAGCAATCCGCTATAGTTTTGCTCATTGGTTATTTAGTGGACCATTAGTGGCAGCCGCCAAAAGTAGCTAGCCGATGGCTAGCCTTTATTAACATGTTGGAAAGATATCGATTAGCCATTTATAGTGGCTACCACTAATGGTTTTCTAAGTAACCGATGATCAAAACTTTAACGCACCCCTCAAAATATCTATACAGATTCACTGCAAATTTATTAAAACAATGTTAACTGGGTAGTACAATGTTTGTTGGGTAAAACAATGTTTGCTGGGAACTGATGTTTGCTGGGAACTGATTTTGTTAAAGAAACAAAAAAATGCTCATATATCTGGTGTGGCATTTAAAAATACCAAAATAAGTCAGCATGTGAAGTAGCATGCATTTCAATGAAACTGCCCATACAATCTAGGTATTAAGGTAAATATATATATATATATATATATATATATATATATACATATATATATATATATATATATATATATATATATATATATATATATATATATATATATATATATATATCAAATACTATATATCAAAGTTATAGAAAAACAAAGTTAATTAAAGTTGATCAAGTTTTGCTTATAAAATTTGTTAATGACGACCATATGAAGTTAAATAAAGTATGTAAAAAAAGGAATAAAGTTTATACTCCATAATTAAAAATCTGAAAATTTTAAATAATAGAATCTAAATAAAACTAAATATATCTTTATTTAAGCATTTTTTTAAATTTTCCTTGCAACAAATAGAAGGAACTTGTTTAAAAAACTTGTTTTTCATTTTTTTATTATGATAACAATGAGAAATATCAACAATTTAAGTATATTTTTACAGTTTTATATATTATATTTAAAAAAGAAATGTTCTACCTGTAGTTACTTGAATAATAGTAATACTGCGTATAGTTCCAATTAAAGCCATATACCAATTATCACATGCATAAACAATAACGTTTGAAAAATTGCGTGCATCGTTGTTAAATGTTGTGTAAAACACACTGTTATTCACACTAATTGTGTAAACGTAACTTTCTCCAAATAACAACTGTGATATTACAACTTTGGTCCATGTATTTAACGGTATCGTAATTAATTCCGTTGCAATAGTAGACCCATTGATCGCTGACATAATAAACAAAATTCCTCTAGTATCAAGAAAAATAGCTGGATTTCTTTCAGCGTACCCTATATCATTGCCAGTAGTAAAATGAAGTATGTTTTGCCAATCTAAGTTTGTATAAGAAGTTGGTTTTATTTCAAATGAAATAATATATTCTTTTGGATAGCTTAGCAATGTTGTCAATACATGATTTTTAATAACCTCTATTTCTTCAACCAAAGAAAATAATGCTAAATAAAACAAAAATAAAAGTTAGAAACTATAAATATAAATACCATTAATTTTATTTTTTTAGGGGAAAAAAATAGCTTTAAATTTTCGACTTTAACTATGTTAAAAGATGTTCAATACTTTTTAATTCTCCTTAAATATTACTTAAGTTAAAAGTTTCACGTCAAAATATAAAAATTGTTCTCCAAGCTACTGAATGACAGTAATAAACTTTTAATCAGTTTTTACTTCAGTCACAGTCTTTAACTCAGTCTCACTCAGTCAGTCTTTATCTCAGTCTCACTCAGTCAGTCTTTATCTCAGTCTCACTCAGTCAGCCTTTAACTCAGTCTTTAGACAGTCTTAGGCAACCTTAGGCAAAATTTAGTTATACTTAAAGATTTGTTTTTGTTTTTTATTGGAAATGTTTTTCAAGCAGATATTGCGATTCAAAAAAGAAAAAAAATGCGTTTTAGATGTTAAGTTATAATAAATGAAACAAACACATTTCATGATACAAAAAATGTTGCAAATAAATCAATTTCTGAACAAAAGTTAAAATTATCTTTAAAATAAAAGAAAATTCTGCATTTTTTTTACTGCTCCAAATGCAACTTTTTAATTAAAAGTTAATTATTTGTATCTCCAATAGGGATGTACTGGAATTCCAGCTGGTTTTTTTTTCTTTTAGATCAATTTGCTTTTGGCTGGAATTAAACTTTTTTTTTTACTTTTTTTTAATGACATGTGACACAGATTCTATAAATAAATCAAAAAATCATTATCCTACAGAGCAATTAAGATCTATTATTTGCAGAAATAGTAGTACTGCAAATTAATTTGCAAAAATTACATTTGTATTCTTTACCTCGGTTTACGTATAGTTCTTGGTTGCTCTGGAGGATAATGGTTTTTTGAATTTTTTACACAGCCTGTGTTTTATGTCATAAAGAAAAAGTAAAAAAAATAAATTAATTTAATCCAGTAGCGAATTGATATAAAGGAAAAAAAATCCGGCCGGAATTCCGGTACATCCCTATGAACATCTCCAATGAACATTATTGGTCGATATCCTTGTTTCTAGTTTTGATTAATAAAAAAGGGTAATTACAGCTTTTTTTAAGAAGGTTCAAAAATATTATCCATTGAAAACTTTTTTCAGTTGTTTAAATATGCCTTAAACAACATTTGAAAATCAACTTACAAAAACATTATGGTAGAACAATCATGAAAATTATTAACAATATATATGCTATGATGAAAGCAATAGCTGCCCTTTTACACTATCTAAGTAAGCAAGATTTATATTTCAAAGCAACCAAATGACCTGTGAAACAGCCTACAAAGATAATGTAAGTACTAACACTGCAGTCTCTGATTTAATTGGATTTAAATAAATTTCATAGAATAACATATTTAAAACAGTTTCTTATTCACTATTCTTTTAATATATTAGAGAATTTATGTTCAAATTTTAGAATAGTTCTAACAATTTTTGAGTTAGTTATATTATATAAAAAAGTTTTGAACAGTTTTTAAACACACTATCACATTTAAGTATGTAAGTTTTGTATGTAAGTTGGACATTCTAAAAAGTAGAGAAGGACATTTTCTCCAGAGTTTGATGTGACTATTGGCTACATTTGCGTTAATTTTTATGAAATTATATTGAGTGGTTCAAATTCTACAAGTGTTTTTTTTGGCGCACTATGAAGTCAAAATTTGACTTAATTTGAACATTTAAATTATATTATTTTCCGCGGACAAAACTAAATGATTTCAAAATTTGCATCACAGGGTACCTTGATGTGTACGCTAACTTGCCGTATAAGTGGCGTTCTTGGGACAGCTAGGTAGGCATTATAAGGATCCGTGCTAACCGTGATAAGCATCTTCACACAAAAGAAAAATATTTTATAAAATATAATGATGAATGCTTTTTAATTTTGGATTGTGCTAAAAACAAAATTGAATTAAAAATTTAAGAAAGCATTCATATAAGATGAGAAAAACCCGATATGAATAAACAAGTAAACCATGTTAAAATGGCTCTTATAATTTAATATGATTTACAGGTTTCTTTTGTTATACTTGTTAAAATAATTTTTTAATAATTCTTTTTGTATATATAGGAAGTTTGTTTACAATTTTATGGCTTTTATTAAGTTTATTTTTACAATTATATACTGCATTTTATACCGTTTTTAACAAATATATTTTAACTGATGATGACTATATATAGTCAAAACATGTCATGATAAATAAAATGATTTTAAATTAAAGGTAAAAATTTTTTAAAAGTAATATTACATTTTGTGCTAAAAGGAAGTTTTGGTAATATAATATATATATATATATATATATATATATATATATATATATATATATATATATATATATATATATATATATATATATATATATATATATATATATATATATATATATATATATATATATATATATATATATATATATATGGAAACATATATGTTTCCACAAAATTCTTGGTAACAAACATCCATATCTCTAATGTCTTGATGAAGGCGTTCCCCTTGCTTGTTACTAACTGCACCAAGATTTTCGAGAAATAATTATAAATGGGAATGCAGGAATTACAGTTTCAAAGACATTGGACAATCTATTTCTATATAGGTATCAATGAGTTTCGGAACTCCATCCTTTTATGCACAAGACTTTTTATCCCAGAAAAAGTTTGTGCATATCCATATGGAAGCCATCCAAGTTTTCAAATCCAGTGAACTGAGGCTCTTTCAAGTTTAGTATCCAATAAAAGCTCCAGGTTTGCAATAAAAGCTTCATTTGAGGCTCAACAAAAATTTCCGCTTTAATTTTACTGCACTAACTTTCGGAAAAGGTAAATTATATCTACCCAATGCTTTAACAAAATTATTTAAGCAGACGTGGCGCAGTTGCTAGAGTTTTGAAACATAAGTCTGTGGCTTGATACCGGCTTAGACCAGATAAGCGATATTGGAGAAAAGAAGCATGAACTTCCTAGCTAATTGCTCTTCTAAAGACCAGATGAAAGACTACTAGAATATTTTAACCCAATCATAACATTAACAATTTTATTTTAACCCAATCATAGCATTAACAATTTTATTTTAACCCAATCATAACATTAACAATTTTGTTTTAACCCAATCAAAAACATTAACAAATAAATAAAAAGTTGTGCAATAATATTCACTTTTAATAAAAACTAAACGTGCCTCAAAAATCTGATTGCAGTTTTAAAACCAACGTCAAAAGTTGTATCCAGGCAACCCAAAATTATCTCTGATGAAAGTTATTTGTTGACCTGTGTACTATAGTATAAATTTTTAGTATGCTAGAGTACTTGTCTTTGTATACTAAAGTATACTGTATACTAAAGTATACTTGTATACTAAAGTATACTTGTATACTGATTCATATAATTTGCAATCTTTTAAGTCATCAGTCAATCGTTATCTTGCTCTACAGATTTAGTCTTTTCTCTTCCAGTAACTTCCAACTCTTAAAGTGGTTGCTTGCAGCCTTGTTGGAAGTGAAGATGTTAAAAAAAAAAAAAAAAAAAAAAAAAAAAGTATGAATTTTTACAGAAAAAAAAAATCTAAGCCTGAAAATCAAAATAATTAAAGTACTTTGAGCCTAGAATAGATATAGATGCCTAGAACAAATATAATTATAAATATAATATTTTTGAAAAAAAAGTTATGATTTTCTTTAATAAGATATTTAAATTTGTTCAGAGTTTCATTAAAAAAAAATTATTTTGTATTTAAAAATGATTATTATGTAATGCTCACAGCCTTCAAATAGTTGAGAGGGGTGTAAAGTTTACATGGATATAATTTCTAAATATAAATTTCTATATAATAATCTTTTTTAACTAAATTTTAAATCCTGGTGATCATATTTATATTATACTATGAAATGCCAAAATATTCTTTGATGTCTTGTGATTTGTAATTTAAGTGGGTTTTTAATTGATAATTATTGGTATTATGTTTATTTGATTTAAGTGTAAATGTTAATATGTTTAATGGGTTTTAATGGTTATTTTTGAGGTTTGTAAATTAAAATAAATTGCTATCAGTGACGGTTCCCGGAACTTTTGGTGGGAGAGAGAAAGGGATTTTGAAATTTATATTTATTTTGGATCACATTTGCGTCTCCTAAAAAAAACAGAAAAGTTCTCTATTCCTAAGACATTTTAGGACTTCCAAATTCAGGTAGAAAAGGGGTTACATACCCCCTTCATCTCCTGCTCCTTCCTCCCTCCTCCTGGACCCGTCACTGATTGCCATTGAAAATTTTAAGAAACAGATTCGCATTGAGTTAAGAAAAAAAAACATCTTAATATTGTGTTTATGCAAGAAAACTACAATCGTTAAATTAATTTCCATTTAGTTAAAGAACTTTTAGACTGGCATAAAATAATCAGGACTTTTTTAGAAATAATGATAAAATAAAAATAAAAGTATAATTCTATAATGATGAAAATTAAAAGCACTCTGTTTTAACAATTACTAAAATTCCCCTAAACATGAAACAATATTCTTTAAACAATAAACAGTAACTATAAATTTTTTAAAGGACAAAACAATCGAAAACAGAGTGTAGTTTAAAAGCAATGTTATTGAAGCAACATCTCTTAAAAGTTGAAATGAACAAAAAATCATTTATCCGTTTAAAATACAATTTAAAACGTTCCAGATCAATTAGCATTGATATGGAACGCGAAGTATTGATCATTGTCTTATAGAGAAAAGCACACTTGTGCACCGCTTGATAAGTATGCAAATTTTTTCAGATAATAAAATAAGAATAAATTTTATACTTTTAATTTAGAAATATCTATAATGTTAAATTGTTTAAAAGTTTGAATTAAAAAATAAAACAAACGTACTTACTAATATCAGCATTGCATACGGAAAAACTTCTAACCAAAAAGAGTAAAATCTAAACAAAACAAATATATATATATATATATATATATATATATATGTATATATATATATATATATATATATATATATATATATATATATATATATATATATATATATATATATATGTGTGTGTGTGTGTGTGTGTGTGTGTGTGTGTGTGTGTGTGTGTGTGTGTGTGTGTATGTGTGTGTGTGTGTGTGTGTGTGTGTGTGTGTGTGTGTGTGTGTGTGTGTGTGTGTGTTATATGTTTCGTTAATACAATTTTATTAATACATGGCTAGGGTAAGAAGACAAATTTAGTCACTAATAAAAATACGAAAACAACTTAATTTCGTTAAATTTCAAGACATATATTATGCTATATGACAGAGTAATATATCGAAAAGTATACAAATACAAATATTTTATAAATACAATTAATATCAGAAAAAAATTATGCCCACCAATAGTTTAAAGATATTTTAAGTTTGATTACAATCTTTACGTTCTAACAGTTTTTATAACTTTTATTATCATTACGCTCTAACAGTTTTTTTCTTAACAATTAATGATTTGGAAATTAAAATTCAATATACCAAAGAACTTCTTGAGTTTAGCGACAAATCTTTTTCTATCTTTTTGGCTCGCATTTTCCCTGCCAGCTGCCAAACTGGCTGCATTGAACATTCCATTAGAATAGGTGGCCATAATTATAATCGTTGTATTTATGTGGATATCAAACCTTAAATAAGAAAAATAGAAACTTTTTCTTCATATGAGAAAAAAGTTTAGTTATATTTTGTTCCCAGATAAAAATTCCCTAAATTTTAATAATATTTTAGTTATAAATTTTTACTTTTGAACATTCTACTTTACACTTTACATAATTGGTCAATAGAGTTAAAGACTCTGAAACATAATTATTTTTCATAAAATCGTATTTATGTATATAGATATTTTTCATAAAATTGTTTATATGTATATAAAAGCATATCTTCTGGCTAATAGATCCAAGATAATTTTATGGTTTATAGATCCAAATCTTGAAGAATAATTCAATTGAATTTTTCAAACGTTGATGGTATTTTGATTTGCTTGATGCTCTGATGGTATTTTGATTTGCTTGATGCTCTGTCCGTACCTTAACTACTGATGTCCGTACCTTAACTGCTCTGTCCGTACCTTAACTACTTAGAAGTACAATCATTCTTTTGCAATAAATTTAGCTGAGTGTTGAGGAAAAATGATTTATAACGCCTCATTTTAACGACACTCGTAATTTGACTAAATTATTATTTACAAAATATCGTTTCGTGTACTAATTAAAATTAACGTTTATAAATTATATTGTGCAACTAAAAATATTTTTGAAACGCATTCCGTTTTTAATTTAAATGACATATTTTTTATCAGTTGATGTAATCTATCTATTCATCATGTAATCCTATCTATTCAAAATGTAGATTATTTGAGTTGAATTTGGTTCTTCATTATAATATAATGAAGAATCAAATTCAACTCAAATAAACTACATATATTATCAAAAGTAGTTTTTAAAACATGAAAACATTGCACAAACTGTCTTTAATTGATAACCATATTTTTGTTTAGTTTACAGCAATATATTTTCCAAAGTAAAAAAGTATTCTTTTATTACTTTAAGAAATTCTTGTGATTTTTCAATCAGTGGGACAACAAAAACATGCTTTAGAATTATTGTTTCATAAATTATTTATAAACATAAAACCATAAAAATTTGAAACTAAAAAAGTATAACATTATTTTTTTGAAATTTTTGAAACAAATTCAGGATTACTAAATATATATACATATACACTAACACACACAAACACACACACGCATACACACAAACACATGCACACGCAAACGCAAATATATAAAATATATATATATATATATATATATATATATATATATATATATATATATATATATATATATATATATATATATATATATATATATATATATATATATATATATATTTATATATATATATATATATATAAATATATATGTATATGTATATATATATATATATATATATATATATATATATATATATATATATATATATATACATATATAACATATATACATATATATATATATATCTATATATATATATATATATATATATATATATATATATATATATATATATATATATATATATATATATATATATATATATATATATATATATATATATATATATATATATGTATTATTCCCAATATATATATATATTCAGGATTTTTTTAATCAAATTCAGGATTACCAAATATATATACATATACACTAACACACACAAACACGCACACGCATGCACACAAACACATGCACACGCAAACGCAAATATATACAATATATATATATATATATATATATATATATATATATATATATATATATATATATATATATATATATATGTATATATATATATAAATATATATCTATATGTATATATATATATATACATATATATATATATAATATATATATATATATATATATATATATATATATATATATATATATATATATATATATATATATATATATATATGTATATATATATATATATATATATATATATATATATATATATATATATATATATATATATATATATATATATATATATATATATATATTATTCCCAACCCAGTCCATTTTTTATCAAAGCCAGGCTTGGGTAGTTGTTCTACCCCAAGTACAGTTTGGAGTTAAAACTTAAGGTGAAGATTCACATGGAGTAAGATGTTGGTTATCTGTTTCAATTTGGCCATAAAGCGATCTCTTATAAGATTGTGCAATGCCAAAAACCTAAGAAACAATTTAGAAGGTAAAGAGGTCAATGAAGATGGGGTAGCAAACATAATTGAGAATCCGGTAAATTAATAACATAATTGAAAATCTAGGTAAAATACATTTTCTTGTCAAATAAGTAAAATATTAGCCTTCAAAACTTATTTGTTATTCAAAAAACATTTACTTTTTATGACCCAGATGTAATACTTGTTATGAAAAGTAATCAATAAAAGTTATTAAGCTTTTATTTTTGCTATATTGCAGGGGGTTAACACAACTTTTTCTTTGCTAATGACATACATAATCAGATTTTTTTGTGTGTGTGTTAGAAACAGTTAACTTCTAGATACCTCCAAATATTTATATGTTCATGCTAATACCAAATAAAGGTGCTTCACAAAAAATTTCGATGATCGAAGCTTGGGAACAAAAAACCCATAAATTTTAGTTCCCATTTAGCCCTTAATGTGGTGGCAACTATGTAAGAAATTACTTTCTTTACTACTTTTATCTAAATTTTAATTCATCAACAGCTTTAAAGTTTTATGCAATAATCTCTTAGTGCTCGGTTTTTATTATCCTGCAAAAGTTTACTGAAAGGAGCTGTAAACTTTGTAAGGTTCAAAATACATCTTTGTAAATGTTTATTAAAAAACACTTGAACGGAAAAAGCTCCAAAAATAAACACTTACAATAGACTGCTTTTAATTGTTGACAAAAACTGTCCATTCATCGTTGACTTTAAGCCGTAAATACTCTCGTAATAAAAGATTTAAAAAATGTCTTATGAAACGTTACCGTGTTTACTGGGTAAACCTCAAGTAACAAACAAAATGTTTTAAAAACAAAAACCAGATTGGTGTGTAAGGATAAAATACAGCACATACCCGTAACATACCTTCATTTATTTTCAACTAAAAATTTCGACGAAAGATCGGGGAAAATCTCAAGGAAAAGTGAGAGTTTAACAGTTTTAAAGAAGAATGTATTTTGCATTGTTACACTTTTACCCAATAAAGCACGATTTAAGAAATTTATTGATAATTATACTTTACCGAAATAAGAATTTTTGTTTCCATAACTTCTTTGACTTCAAAATATATTTTTTAATCTTTATTCGGCTAGCTACTTTTTTTTAATTTTTTAATTTTACTAAATCTTTAATCTGCTAAGACACACATTAAAACTCCCTATTTTATGAAGTCGTCACAGTTTAGAAAATAATAGCATTCAAGTTTACATAGAAACAGTAAAATTAAATGTACAAAAAAAAAATGAATCTTGTAATAGAAGACATAACCATAAATATTAATTGTGTATTTATTGAAAGACGTATTCAAGCTAAGTATTTATTGAATAAGTTTTGCTAATTTTTTTAAAACTCAATACTAATGTCAAAAAAATCTATATAAAAAAATTAAATTTGCAAGTGTAGTGTGTTTATACAACATATTTTTTAAGCTTTCAGTCTTTACTTCATCCATGACGTGTCTTGCATGGTTTGCATATTTTTACCAAGACATTATTTCGTCTGACTTTATTTTCTTCCCAAAGTTTACGGGAAAAAAACAAGTCAGACGAGTTATCATCTAGTTTTTACCATATTTATATATGCTTTATAAATTGCATAATTTTTGCCTTATAAATTGCATAATTTGTTTACACAACGAAATAGTTTTATAAAAATGTCTACGTTTTTTTTTTTATTTTATCAAATTTTACGTTTTTTTCTAAAAAATTAATTTGATCTTTTAAAGGTTTTTAAGATCTTTAATTCAAAATTTAAAATTCAAGTGAGAATGAGAATCTTCCATGAGAATCTTCCATGAGGATCTTCCATGAGAATCTTCCATAAGAATCTTCCATGAGAATCTTCCATGAGAATCTTCCATGAGAATCTTCCATGAGAATCCTCCATGAGAATCTTCCATGAGAATCTTCCATAAGAATCTTCCATGAGGATCTTCCATGAGAATCTTCCATGAGGATCTTCCATGAGAATCTTCCATGAGAATCTTCCATGAGAATCTTCCATGAGAATCTTCCATGATAATCTTCCATGATAATCTTCCATGAGAATCTTCCATGAGAATCTTCCATGATAATCTTCCATGAGAATCTTCCATGAGAATCTTCCATGAGAATCTTCCACGAGAATCTTCCATGATAATCTTCCATGAGAATCTTCCATGAGAATCTTTTAAATTAAAAGCACAAGAGCTTGATCAAATATCAAACATGGAGCCACTGACAATCGAAACAGAATTGTTATATATGCTTTTGGATGTAAAACATTTTTTTTCAAAATTTTCAATTTCAAATTTTTTCAATATATTATAAGAAATATGAATTTGAAAATAAATAAAAAGTCTTTTTATTTTAGTTCTGTATTGTTTGATGAACTTAAAATGAGCAACGAAGTGATGAACTTAATCATTTAATCAACCGAAATTTGTATATACTTATGAAAGTTTGAAATTTGGACTATTTTTAAGTTGAGTTTTTTCAAAAACCATGGTTTTTGAGAAAACTCAAGAAACTCAAAACTTAACTAAACTCAACTTAAAATAGTCCAAACAAAAATCATTACAATTTATTAAGTGCACTTAATAAATTGTAATGAATTTTTTTATAATGATGCTTAAAAAATTAGCTTTTTGTTAGAGGATGTATTATTGTTTACATCTTATTAGTTTTTGCAATGTTGAGTAAAGAGTCTGAAAATCGAAAACAAATTTTGAAACTTACATAGAAAATCCATTGTTCTCATATTCCATGATTTAAAATGCATATCAATTTCCAAAATCAACTGTTGGACATGTATAACGTTATAAAACATTATAAAGAAAATAAAACTGTATAAAGAAAATCAGCAGGTGTTGGAAAATCAAGATTTACTTCTAAAAAGAAGACAAAATCAATCTTCGACTCAATTCACCGAAATCCGACTCAGTCACAACAAGATTTAGCTACGAAGTTTAAATACAGCAGATCTTTCGTTCAAAGAGTATTCAAAGAAAAAATCTGAAAGCATATTACAAGAAAAAAATACCAAATAGGTCGCCTGATAGAGAAATAAGGCAAATGGAAGAGCTAAAAATTGGCTTAAATTAATTACGAACTCAAATTAACTTGATGTTTCCAGGTAGTTAATACTATTATCAGTTAAAACGTTATAAAATTTTTGACAAATTCAAGTACATTTAAGTTGAAAATTTTGCTACCCAGTTCCTTGTACGGCAGGCTATTAGCAGTTGTGGTTTTAAAAGTTCTCTTTTCATAACAAATCAATCTTTGACACCAGATCTATATGTGACTCAATGTTTTGAAAAACAACTTCTTCCTCTATTTGAAAAGCACAAACAGCCAACCTTATTTAGACTAAATCTGGTATCAATCCACTGTAATTGCAGTGGTATAAGAAAATAGCATTAATTTTGTTCCAAAGAATACTGATCTACCAAACTTTCTTGAGCAGCGAACTACCAGATACTATTAGTCAATTGCAAAGAGAATAGTGGCAAATGCGCAAAGAGTGTTAAAATGTCCGAGATTTATGGATTGATGCTACAAAGAGACTAATTATTATTTTAAAAATTATTTTCAACACACTAATTGCTCATATTAAATTTTAACACTTTTTATAAACAATTATTTATTTTAGAATTGTGTCCAAGTTAAGTTAGAAACAATAAACTAAAAAATAAACTCAAATTCAAAAAGAAGCTGTTCTTTTAAAAGCTCTACCTCATTTTTAAAAATTGTTTGCATAATATTTTGTCTCTATTGCAAAGTAGTAGACGAAATATTATTCCCTAAGAAAAAATATTATTCCCTAGATACAAAATATTATTCCCTAGATACAAAATATTATTACCTAGCTGGTACTCATTGCTTTTTTTTGATGGTTCAAACAAAATTATGATTTTACTAATAAATTTATCTTCTACTTTTTCATACACGCCCTACCATCACATTTTTATCACACTTTACAATTATAAATAATTAAAGATTACAAGTAATAAATTTTCATTAAATATAGTGGAAACTAAATTTATGTTGTTCGACAAACATAGTAAAGGTGTAAACATAGTAATGTAAAGGTCACCTTCCTGGGGTGGACGCAGGTTTTTAATTTACCCCATCAAAAAAAAAAGCGTCATACGCCATGTTGTGACTTGAATACGCCTGCTGTAAAAACAAAAAAATTTAAAAGGGGGAAAAGAGAGAGGGAAAGTTACAATTTTTGCCATTGTATAAAAAAACCCATACCTTAGTTTTATATATATATATATATATATATATATATATATATATATATATATATATATATATATATATATATAATATATATATATATTATATATATATATATATATATATATATAATAAGAAGAAACAAAGATTACTCTACGTTTGCTTCAAATTGGTAAAAAATTGTTATATTTTGATTTAACAAAACAATTTTTTTCAAAAAGCGCTCTATACCTCATGATTTAACAATAGTATACTCTATTGAGAATACTTTAATTAAATCCTGATACAACGGCGTACATTTGCAACTGATTTTAAACGAATTCGTTTGCTACTTTTAGTAGTGAGGAACCAATTAACTTATTCACTTTTCTCATTCCCTGCAAAGTACATTTTTGATTAGGAAGTTTTGTAAAATAATTTTTTCATTCTTTGCAAAGCATAGTTTTGAAAAACTTTTTGAAACTGAAAATTTTTTTCAAAATACATTTTCTTACAAATATAAAAAAAATTGGTGGTCTAATATTAGGGGGATGGTAGACGTCATAATATCAATATTTATTTTTATTTTTTTACCTCATCAGAAAAGTATGTTTAAATAAAATAAGCTTGCATACATGTTATTTTGAACAACTTTGGACCCTACTTATGTAGTTATAATTACTAAAGACTAAAAGTTTTTAATCCATTTTGAAATATTTATTAATTTATTTGATTTGTTTGAGATGCTTTTAATTCGTATCAGAACCAATGCCGTCATGCGTTTAAAACTTAAACTATGCATCGGCATATTCTTAATTCATTTTCAACGTTTGAAAAGTTTTGAAATTTGCACCAATACTAGGGGAAAGGGTGGGGGGAGAGGGGAAATGATCCAATTGTAACTTTTTTTTTAGGTTTTGTGTAGTTTAACCGCTTTTTCTAAATTAATTTTTTATTCTGATTTTGAATTACTTAATACTTTTTTTTTCATTATAAGTATTTAGCCTTCTACTTTATTTTTTCTACAACTTTTTATATTAATTCTATTATTTCGATAAAAAAGTGTGTACTTATTTTGAAAAAAACATGTGTGGTTATAAATACTAGAGAAATTTAGGCATTTTTCATGAAACTAGTCCATATTAAGAAACGATTACTACGTAACGATTAGTAACGATTACTAGTGAAAATACAAAATAACATATCAGCAGCCGTGGTGCAGTGATTGGTGTTCTTTCTCAAAAACAAGATGTCTGAGATTAGATTAGCTCTAACCAAATAAGCAAAGTTGGTAAGGAAGGAGGTTTGAAATTCATAGTTAAGTTTCTTTTCCACGGTGCTTTGTGATAAGGCCAAAATGTTATTCTTGGAGCTCCTTAACAACCAATAAAAACAGACATGCAGATGACTATTTATCTATAATAATTCTGAGACTTAATGGTGACGAATTTTTTTTGTGCATGAATTCATATAGAATGACCCATTAATGAACTTCTTTCTAGTATATACATCGTCTTAAGTGCCTAGCCAAAACTTTCAAAAGCATGATAGAGTAGCTAGTCACTTTTAGCGCAGAAATACAATGTGAAGTATCAGAAATAGATAATTTCTGCGTTCACAAAACTTTAAATTTTGTAATTTCTTAGTTTGAAATAAGGGCCGTTCTTCATTTTTGACCCGGGCGCTACTGGCGCTCTCAAAGGCTCTGAGTGGACCTTTTGTTTGGAAAAATTTTCTTCGCATTTTTAATGATAAACTAGAATTTGTCATAAACTACACAATGGAAAGTTTTTAGGCTGACTCGCAACGGCATTTACTAACAGGGAACTCGATGTATTTGATTTCAAATACATATTTTGAAAATAATTTAACTGATTGAATCAAAAAATCTGTACTACAGTTCTTTAACTTTTTTACTACATTTCTTTAACTTTTTAATTTGTTTTGTTTTTGCTGTGTTTTTGTCGATATTAAGTAATTAGTAATAAATATTTAGTTATATTTCATTATTTATAATAAAACACAACGCAATTTTTGTAGATTGATAACATTTTGGTTATCTACCTTTTGTTTCATTTTATTACTTTAATTATTCCGTTGAAATATTGTTGTTAAAAGTTTCTACTTTTTGTTTTGAAAGTTTTTTTTAAAGTTTTTTTTTCTGTATATACTATTTTAATGACTATTTATTTCGCATGTAAATATTTAAAACGTTTACAAAACACCAATGTAACACGGGCTCGGCGATAAGACAATTTGTCTTCTTCTTGCTACTGCTAGGTTTTTATTTAATTGTAATTTCTTTTTGTTATTTTAACTAACGGCAAATATTGTATATATATATATATATATATATATATATATATATATATATATATATATATATATATATATATATATATATATATATATATATATATATATATATATATATATATATATATATATATATATATATATATATATATTTACTTTTTTAAAAGGTATAAACTCAAAAGAACACAAAGATATTTGTGTTCTTTTGAGTTTATCAAAAAAAAAAGAAAAAAAGGTATAAAATTTCTTATTAAATTCTCAATCACAATGACACTTGGATGTGTTTTGTCTTTAAAATTTGAATTTTTCTATGAGGGTTTATGAATAAATTTTTCGAAAATTTCAAGAATGAGTTTGATTCGCAACTGCAATATAGCATCTTTATAATCTGATATTATAGAATCATTTTCGACTGAAACAGTTTTTTCATTAAGATGTGAGTTTGAAACAAGGTTTCACTGTTTTCTAAAAGATTTTATTGTCGGTAATATTTTTAGTTTGAAGATTTTTGAAAAATAATTTTGTTTTTTTAAAGAGTCCTACAATAATTTTTTTGACGGTTGAATGCTTTTTTACGACATTCTTTTTTATTAAAACGGAAGCAATTTATAAGTCTAGACCGATTTATTATAGCTTAATTCAACTTTTTTTCGTAAAGACTGCATGATTATTTCATAAATACCTTTTTTTTTGAGATGATGTTTATTAAAGTGGTTGTTACGGTGTATTTAAATCGAATAAAATCCAATTTTTATAGGTTTTTTTAAATATATTTCCTTTATTAAGTCATTAATTTAGAAAATTTTCATTGTCCAAATATTTAAAGCATCTGTATGCAATTATCCTTCGTTTTTGCTTAGGAAAAAGCGAAGGACAATTACATACAGATGCTTCATATTATAGAATCATTTTCGACTGATTCTATAATATCAAGCGTTTGTATATAATTATCCTTCGCTTCTTCCTAAGCATCTCAAGACCAAATTTACTAATTTATGAAAGTCGAATAAACCTGATTTGGTTGGCAGAAATATTTCTGTGTTTTGTAAAAGATGAGGTAAATTACTTCTGGTATATTTTTAAAACAAGTTGGTACTTTTATGAGAGGTTTCAAATTATACATAATATGAAACTCTTCCATAAATTCGTTGTTCATCTCAGCATTCACATTTTTGCATAAGTTTCCCATATATATGTGTAGCGGGGTATATATTGTAGTTTATCATAATTTAATTTTTTTTTAAACCAAGTTTTGTTAAAAAATATTCTTAAGCAGGTCGAGTTTTACTATCCTTGTTTCAATAAAAACAGCCATTAGGGGAATTTTTCATTCTGGCAGTCCGTAATTTTTCCGTCTAATAACTAAATTTTGATTAATACTATTCTATAGCTCATTTTCTGCTCTAAAATATTTAATATTTCTAAAATATCTAAAAATTTCACGAAGTGTACAATCTTGTAAAAAAATCTCTTAGAGGCCTTCCCCATTTCTTTTCGATATTTTATTTCCAAATGGTTGAAGGTTCGCTAATTTTGTCGCATACTTTGATGCTATCAACCAAAGGAGTCATAACTGTCAATCCAATATATTGATAAATTTATTTATTAGTTTAAAAAATATATTTATCGTATTTATCATTTGAATCAGTAGTTGTGACTCTTGAAGTTGATCGAGATTTTTTTTATTCTTCCAAATTAGAACATCCGAATCGCCATTATACCCTTTAAATATATCAAATAGTTTTACTCGGTTCCACGCTCCATTTGCTAGTAGTTTTCTCCCACTAAACAAAACAGAGAATTAAGATGCTTTTTTTAAACAAGTATAAATCCAATTGATACAAAAGTTTGGAAAAATTGTTATCAAAAACAATTTTAAACACATTTATAAACATTGTTAGCTATAAACTAATAAATCATGAATCACGCAATTACCTTCAAATGCTCTAGTACTTTTCAGAATGGTCTATAAAAATTACCCATACACAAAAACGGCTTCTCTACTTTACATACTGATACTTCTGGATACAAAAATTTTTTTTAATGAAATATGAAGTTTGTGGATGAATTTTTTTTTAAAACACCACAAGTTATTTTCAAAAATTCTATTGAACTAAACATAAAGACTAATGAAAAAACTTTGAAAAAATTTAAAAGATAAAAACTTTTTTTAAAGTGTTCATCTTTTAGTACAAGAACATTACTTTGAATCAGCATATTAATAATGTATGCACTAAAGTCTCTAAAAACATTGGTGTTTTATACAAAGTATAATATACAAAGTATAAATATACAAAGTATAAATATAGCTTTATACAAAGTATAAATATAGCTCGAACTTATCTCAATATTAAAAAATTTAAGACAACTTTATTTCTCATTTATTCACTGCTACATAAACTATGCTAATATTGCCTGGGGAAATACTGGAAAAAGCACACTACGTCGTTTTTATTGCTGTCAGAAACGAGCAACTCGCATAATTAAATTTGTTTATTTAAATATATATAAATTATTATTAAAATTTATTAAAATTAAAATATTATTCTTATTCTATTAAAATGAAAATTTTAAACATATTTGAACTTAAGGTTTTGAAAATTTTATGGTTTGATTACACAATGTTACATAACAAAAAAATTCTCTGTTTATCAAAATTTTTGGATGTTTCTTGTTTAATTTGAATATTCTGAGTCTGAATATGATGGTTTTTTTTATATCATCAACTGTTTGATCATAAAACCAAAATTTCAATTAAACATATAATTTAAATTAATCATATTGCATGAGATACAAATTTAGTCAACATATAAAATTAACTAGTTCAAAAACGTTATGTTATGCTACAAAACGTCATGTTACATCACGTTACATACTTATATTACATAATTTTACATTATGTTCTAATGTAATTGTCGGTAAATGTCTCTCAAAATCTCAAAAAACACTAGAAGTGAACAGTAGAACGTGGTTTTCTTTTACAAATTTTGTCGTCATCGCGTATCTAACACCAGATGTAGTCACCCATCATAACTGCATCCCAACTGCCTTGGTATCTTTTCTCTATTACATGGATATCCTGATAAAAACATTCTCCATGCTCTTCACTCACATTACCCAAATTTGGTTTGAAAAATTTTAAGTGTGAATGCAGGTAATGCAGCTTTATTGACATTCTGCATTTCATATCTATACCGTACGATTAAGTTTTCCACAAGCTCTTTGTAGTTATCACTCTTATTGTTGCCTAAAAAACCATAAACAACATGTCTAAACGCTATTCATGCTTCTTTTTCAACAGCAGAAAGTTCCTTACATGCCAACATAACTTTAATCTGCTGACCAACACCTTTGGAAACATCTGCCGAATATGTTGGAACACTGCACTAGCCGGGTTTAATGCTTTGACAAATTGTTTGACAAGACCTAGTATAATGTGAAGGGGTGGAGTAAGATTTTCTCAACAGGTATCAGGGATTGATTAATTACATTGTGTGAACCAGGCTGTAAATGTTCTCTCACTGGCCACTCACGTCACGTGAAGTGCTGGTTTGCAGCCCTGCTATCCCATAAACAAAGAAAACATGAGTACTTTTTGTATCCACCTCGTAGACTGAGAAGGAATGCTAGCATCTTACAGCCTCTACATACATCCCATTTGTAACTGTCGTACTTGATTTTCTCAAACACCAACTTCACGTTCTTGTAGTCTTCCTTTAGATGAACGGAATGAGCTACTGGAATCGAAGGAAATTGGTTTCCGCTATGGAGCAAAACTCCCTTTAGACTTCTTGTTGAACTGTCAATGAATAAGTCAATGAATAATGAATAAATAGCACAGTCATTCTAAATAATCAATGAATAAATAGCATAGTGATTCTGATACTACATAAAAGGATGCAAATGTTTCATGTCTTTTTCGGTATTTCGAGGTTCTGCAGTCTGAATCCGATAAATTCCATTCTTTCAAACGTGATGTCAAAAGTTCTGCATTTGATTTAGTGAGAACTAAATCTCGTACTAAGTCATCAAGTTCTTGTTGGTTTGGGAAATGAGGTGAATCATTCGGTTCGCAGAAATTACAGCCATCACTTAGTTAATCCGGTGTGTCTCATCAGAATGATATGCAGCTGTTTCTTCTAATTAAGGTGGGTTAGGAACAGGCAATTCATCACTGTGTGGAACTGGTCCAATAGAAGAGGGAATACTTGGATAAACTAGAGTCAGCCTATCCTTCAGCTTTTTATACTTTGAAATGTCAACCATGTAGAAATAACAGTCATCGTGATGGTTCGTCGGTTTTCTCCATATTCTCGGAATCGCAAAGGCATTGACTTTCGGATTCCACGCAGCCATCCTTCCAGAGTTGATCTACAGCTGCCACAATTGTAGTGTGGTGCCCACGATTTGTCCTGATCTCCCATAGCCATGCCAAAATTGGCATGATATGCAGTAAAGAATTTTGTACTACTGACAATCTTATATTTAGTTTGTGTTGGACTAATATAGTAACCACAAACATAACAGAATGAGTCAGGGTAAAGCTTGCAGGATCTACTAGACATACTCATCTCTTCATATAACAGTTGTAATTATTTAAACTAAAAATAAACAAAACAATATAGTTAACTCATTCTCTCATTAACATTTGTTAAAAAAAATCGTACCCAAAATGTGCTAATATTTATTGAAAAAGTGCTTTAAATCAACATAAATAAATATAAACAATAACAAAGAATGTCACGACTGAATACCTAAGAAACTATAATCACGAAGTGTAATATTAAAAGTGGGGTTATAGAAAAAAGACGCAAAATATACCAAGCCACTGACAGTGGCTCAGCGGAGAGAATGAGTTAAAATGAGCATATATAAATATATAATGTTATAAATGCATTACACATATACGAAAACTCCGAAATATACTTTATGCTTTTTTCAGGAAATCTTGATAATAGAACAAAACCAATGGTACCACTGAAATCAGCATACCAAAATTATATATGAAACATTAAAAAATTAATAAACAAATTGTTGTTACATTGTGTTATATGTGAAAAAAAGTCAATCCATCCCCCTCCTTCCTTTCTGTCTTCAACGATTTTTTAAGTTTAAAACCAGCAACAAATACACTTAAAAAAAAATAAATATATATATATATATATATATATATATATATATATATATATATATATATATATATATATATATATATATATATATATATATATATATATATATATATATATATATGTATATATGTATATATATATATATATATATATATATATATATATATATATATATATATATATATATATATATATATATATATATATATATATATATATATAAGTATATACTAGGAATTGTGAAAATTTGATAAAATATGTAATGTTTTGATTTGAAGAACATAACATAAGTATAAAAAAGTTTAGAGCCCTATAAAATCATACCCCACTACCCCTGCTCCCCTTCCTCCTACACATACACTAAAACATTTAGAAAACAGTGTCGTTGGCTCTGTTATTATTGCTTGTTGTATTCAACGCCCCTTTAAGTTCTAATAGCTATGGGTGTTAGCAAAATCTATAAATAATAACGCAACTAATATTTAACTTTGCACCTGGTAAACTAGGTTTATATGTTTTAATTTTAATAAAATAACATTAAAAAAAAATAGGTTGTTCGTTTTTAGACTATTTTATCCTGCGATTGTAACAACGGAATTTGTTTAAATTATTTATGCACATAAAATATGTATAACAAATTTTATTTAAAGCTTGAGATGTTAAATTAGAAGAACCTTTAAAAATTTTATTATTGTATAATAATGAAAAAAAAAAACAATTTCAAAGATATTTTTTTAGATTCATAACTATAAATAAACTTTGAATAATAAAAAATTGTAAAAAAAATAATTCAATTAAGGTAAAAAAAACAAAAAATTGTTTTATGTAACTTTTGAAATTTATTTTTTAGAAGAAAACCAAACGCAGAAAGTCTAATTACTTGTATGTGATATTTTCATTTTTATTGATGTATAACCTTACTTGTAAGTTATATATATATATATATATATATATATATATATATATATATATATATATATATATATATATTATATATATATATATATATATATATATATATATATATATATAATATATTATATATATATATATATATATATATATATATATATATATATATATATATATATGTGATATATATATATATACATATATATATATATATATATATATATATATATATATATATATATATATATGTATATATATATATATATTTATATATATATATATATATATATATATATATATATATATACATATATATATATATATGTACATAAATATATATATAATCATAAATATAACTTTATATATATATATATATATATACATGTATATATATATATATATATATATATATATATATATATATATATATATATATATATATATGTACATAAATATATATATAATCATAAATATAACTTTATATATATATATATATATATATATATATATAATATATATATATATATATATATATATATATGTACGTAAATATATATATAATCATAAATATAACTTTATATATATATATATATATATTATATATATATATATATATATATATATATATATATATATATATATATATATATAAATATATATATATATATATATATATATATATAATTATATGTACATAAATATATATATAATCATAAATATAACTTTATATATATATATATATATATATATATATATATATATATATAATATATATATATATATATATATATATATATATATATATATATATATATATATATATAAATTTCAAGCTTTTTTGAAAATTCTTTCCTTTTCGTTTTTTATAGTATATGATATCTTTAAATATGTTATGTATATAATATTTATAAAACTTCAAAAGTGTTTCATTTTATAATTTAAAAAATCAATAATAATTATAACAAAAAAAGGTGCGACTCTTTCTCGCTGTTACCTCGGTTGCGATGGCTGCCAAGAGTTCCGTATCAATTAAAACTATTAAGTTCGGTTTTAATATAAAGTGATTAGAGTAGTAGTAACAGCATCGACCCCAGAATTAGGAGGTCCGTAGTTTGACACATGTTTTTCCCATAAAAGAAGGTCAATAAGAAAGGCAACGTGAACGCTCTTGTTAAATGCTTTTTGGAGCACTTTATTACCAAAAATGTTATTTCCTCTCTGGTGCGTATTTACTGGGTTCTTCTTTTTACACTGTAAAGCAAAAGCTTGTATTTATTATAGTGATTTTACAGATTCTGCGTCTAAATGTTGTATTACTATTTAAATGTTTAATTGCACAAAAATTGCTCAATGCTCGATTATTGTTTATGTATGCAAATCGACGCTTTGGATTCGCTTTGATTATTTTCAAAATCATGCCTAACATAGTTTTTCAAACTTAAATGGTTGACTTTTTTCTTTTTTAGGTATATTTATTTTTAGTTCATATCCTCTGAACTAATAACTACACCAATATTGCATATTTGCTGAATTAAGAAGAAATATAGTAAATATTGAGAAATTTTTCAGCCTGAAAACTTGCTTTATTTTTATAAACTTTATATTTAAATTTCAAAAAGATATTTAGTAACATTTCAAACTATTACCTATTATTAGTCTACCTTATGTTTTTATTACTATATTAGCTATAATCATTTTTGATTAATTAATTTAATTAAAAAATATATAAATTTTTACTATTTTTTAGATTAGAATTTTTGAGTTCTTTAATAACTTAAGAACTTTAAAATTATTTTAAAATCTTTAAACTTTAGAAAATATCAAATTTTAATACTAGGGGCTGTCCATTAATCACGTCAACAAATTTTTTGAAATTTTTACCTCCCCCCTCCCCTTGTCAACAATTGTCAAAAAAGTTCAGACCCCCCTCCAACCTATTTTGCTGACGTAATTAATGGACAACCCCCTTAATGGATATTATTACTATTTTTATATAGTTTTTGTTAAATTTAAATCCAATATGCTGTTTTTTTTTGTTTTTGTTTTTTTGCATAGTTAAATACATAAATGTAACAATATTGTTTGAATATTATATTTTCATTTAGCATATACATATTTATATGTTCAAGAGAATCTGTTGAAGTTAACTGTAAGAAAAAAAAAACTGTAAATCAAAGTCTTAGTTAATATTAAGTAACTAAACTTGTCGGTATAAGTTAGTTTGGTGTAAGTTTTGCACTAAATTCTTCTCTAACTACCCGAGCAGCACAAGTTAGTTGGCTCTTTGTAGTTTTTATTGCTAGATTAGCAAGCATTATAGTTGGCTGTAAGTCGGCGTTATTTTGGCAAATGTTTGAATGCAAAATGTTAGTATTAACATTTTGTTTGTACATTATTATAGCTTATCTTCCTCCAGCTAATTGCTATACGGAGAACGCATACCACTGAAGGGCATAATGACCATCGTCCGCGAACCAAGATAAGCGAGTTTAAGAACTACAGAAAAATAATAAGTAAAAGTTCGAAGTAATCAAACTAGAGAGATAGCATAGAGAAATGCGGACGTTACAACTATTATAGCTAATATCATCACATTTCCATATTTATATAATATTGAACTGTACGTAAGTAGATTTTATTATGCAACTTTTTTTTAATACATTTAAAATACCGATGTTTTCTAATAAATAAGTAACTAATGCAATGCGGTGATCAAGTACTTTTAAAAAATCATTTTTGTTTTATGAGTTTTTATAAACTCACAACACAACAAAAAATGTATATAACATGTCAAGTATTATTTTTTCTTAGTTGTATAAAATCATAGCTCATAATGCTAAGTAAATAATAAGTTATATAAAATCATTTGGTCATAACGCTTATATTTTGGTTTTGAAAATGTAAACGGAACAAAAAACACATTTAATCTTCTAATAGAATTCGCGTTTTTATCACTTTCCGCTTATCGGCTGTTTTGTATGTTAGAAGTATGCTTGCATACTTCTAACACGACTACTTCACGCTTTTCTCTTAGGCAACCGTAACTGTAGTTTTTCCTGAAAATTTTCTTATTCTTGATCTGTTGAGGTGGGATAATGACTTAGTCTATGTAGAGAGAATAATCTCTATTATATGGACTTGTGAATATGTGGCCTCCGTATGGTAAATAGTCGAACAAGAATAAAGTTATATTAGACTAGCTAGAGGAAGAACAAATTCAAAAATAGTTTAAAATTGTGGTGCAGTGTTAGTTATACAATTATTCTTGTTGCAAGTTAAATAGCACCTTTGCGTATAAAAAAAGGAAAATTTTGAAATTTAGTTTTAACCTTTAGGAGCTGTAATTGAAGTGGATTTTTCTCTTAAAAGTTGACTGAATAAGTGTTTAACAACTGTTTGAATATCAAGAATTAAACACAACAAAAAACGCGATCTACGTAAAGTAATTGTTTTTGAATACCTTGGTATAAATATCAAAGTTTTAAACAATCTCTAGCATTTTTATGAACCTTATCTTATGTTTCCCTGTTTAGTTATAGGTTTGCTACATCTTTTCAGTATTTTGTTTTGTGTTGTAGTATTTTTGCTAGATTTAAAAACAATATCCTATATTTTAAAGATTGGGATATGAAATACTTTTTGTAAATCTGGTACTACTAATTACGCTATTTAACACAATTTTTGTTCCTGGCTTCTAAGTGTTATATTTTAATTGGTTGCAATGTCTAAGGTATATGAACAAATGACATCATTAAGAACAAGCTCTGCTTCCACGACAAATGCACGAAGAAAACTCGTTTATTTCTAAAAATAGAACAATTTTTTTTTATTTTTATTATTATGATCAGGTAAAAAATTGTTCAAGAAAAGGACAAACGCAGTTGGAAACCACTCAACAAGGTTCAGAAGTGTTTAGATTTTCTAGATATACGATTGCACTGTGAATGAATATCTCAAAGTAGTCCCCAAATTTAGTCCCCTATTATGTTTTCGTTATACTGTTCTTGGCAACGACGTTTAAAGGCCTATATATATATATATATATATATATATATATATATATATATATATATATATATATATATATATATATATATATATATATATATATATATATATATATATATATATATATATATATATATATATATATGATATATATATATATATATATATATATATATATATATATATATATATATATATATATATATATATATATATATATATATATATATATATATATATATATATATATATATATATATATATATAGCTCCTCGGAATAAGCGCTCATGTTCTACTTGAATTTATCAAGATGCGAGTCAATGATATGGACTTTTAGAAAAACTCTACATCCCATTTTAGCTTAATTCTTTATGAGATTCTGTATCAACTAAAATTTTTCAGTTTGTGATTATCTAGAAAACCCTAAACAACTGCAACAAAACTGCTTTAAGCCACTCTCTCCACCTTATTCAATAGGTTTGAAAAATCTTCACATTCTATGATCTTCTATATCTGCGGTCCAAATCATATACCAGCCCTGACCTAAGCCTCGGACAGCTTTCGGAAAAAATTTCGGAGGTATTGAAACGTTGCTGACTCCTTTCCAAGAGCAGTGACAAATTGCTTAATGAGGTCTAAATTGATGTGCAGCGGTGGCATTAGCACTTTATGAGGTTTTATCAGCGTCTAAGTACCACGGCTGTCCCAGAAACAGAATAAACAACAAATTCATCCGGGATGAACTACCTATGAATAGGTGCCTTTCAATAGGTTTACATGCTGCCCCTATAGCCAGGAATAGACCGGCAACATTTTTGCAGAAGCACAACCCATCACGCTGACTGAAGAATTTGGAGAATTTTTAATGCCGCTTTCTCTGATGCAATCTGAATTTGAGGACAGTAAATTTCAAAATATTGAACGATTTCAATATGGAACTATTTGCCTACAGCACGCGACTTACAACAAAACTCTTTATCTTTCAACTCCTTGAAATTAACTAGATCTAAAGCATTGAAATTTTATGAAAATAAATTAAAACATATCTAAGCAAGAAGCAACTGTTCAGTATAACTTTAAGTGTTTTCTTCCAATATTTGCATGTGAAATGCGGTGCCCAAGATTTGTTTTGATCCCCGACTGGCACTCTGAAGTATGCCTTGAGGTCTTGCGTGTTATACGACTTGCTTCTACGGAATACTTTTTCGCCCTTGTCTTTATGAATTTTCCGCACACGTAGCAGATTGAATCAGCTGGGTTCAAACAACCTCTTGATGCTATATCAAATAAATAACTTTTCTTTAACTTCGAATCATTATCCTTTCAGTCTGCAAGAATATGAGTTGGAATCTTGGTTCAAGTACTTTTATACCTGTACTTTTTTACTTGTACAGTTCTGAGTGTTTCTCGAAAGGTCTGAAAATTTTTTGAACGTTTTAGAGTGTTTAGGAAAATTGTAAAAACATTTTGACAAGTCTAGCAGTTCAGGAATATTATAGGAGGAAGCTTGGAATTGAAAGCAAATCAAGAATTTTATCAAAAATACGCGATTTTCCAAATTTCATTGTCCCGGTCACAGTAGCAAAGTTTTTCTGGAATAATAGCAATTTTATTTTCTCTTCTAAATCTAAGAGATTAGAAAAACACAGTTTCAACCCAGGAACAGAACAAAAGTAAAAATTTACATAGTCTTATTAATTCAATTCTAATCTAGGAATTTATTATAAGTTGTTTCAAAAGTCAAAAAAATAATATTCAACTAACTCTAAATATTGTTAATAAATTTTTCTTAACTTTTATCTCTTATTTGCAATCTTTTGCTTGGCAATGAACATTTTGAAACTATATAATTGAATAGTTTTTTTTAATGTGAAATGTGATAGGTTAACCTCAAATTTTTATAATTATGCGCTATTTTAAGTGATAAAGACTCATCCCTGAAAAATGACGCATTTTAACTTTGTTCTCACTCCAGCTATATTATATCTCTTTGATTAACCACGATCCCTAATATTTTAATGTTGAATATCAAAATTTGAATACTTGTATTCTATCACGACTATTTCTTTTGTGGCTATTAAGGTGCTCCCAAAAAGGGCTTACGGTCTTATCACGAGGGCATTTAACTAGGAAGTTCACGCCTCATGTTGCTAATTGGGCTATAGCCGGCGTTAAACTTTTAGACTTTTGGTTCTGAGTCAGAATTCTAATCACTGCGCTACAACTGCGATTATTATTTAAGCTTAGTTATTACTTTATTACTTTAGTTGGAGGATAATGGAGCTCTGTAGAGAATCTACTTTCTGCAGACTTTAATGTATGGCCTCCATATGGCAAATAGGACAAGGATAAACCAATTGATTTTTATTAAAAAAAGATGTTACGTTTCGTACTAAAAAACTTTTTTACAAGTATGTCTAAAAGATGTTTTAAAAGTATCTTTATAAACACGTGTTTTAGCCTTCCTATTGTTTGCAAGATGTGTTTTAGACCTTTAAAGAACGTATTATCACTTATCAATACGTTCTATGATTTAAACGTCTTCGAACGCGTATTTTATACTTTTTCAAAGACGTTTAGACGTCTTTTAAACGTCTTGGTGTCAACTGGTCTTGTCATAGAGCACCACAGAGTATTTAACAAGGAAGTTCACGCGGAAGACACGTCTTTGGGTCTAGCTAAGATAAAATATTTTACAATACCATAATAAAAAATAAAACAAGTTTAAAATGTATATTTGCAAAAACCAGTATAAAATAAAATCGTATTTAAAATTATATTTAAAAATATAAGTTGAAACCCTATTTATGACGTGGTCAGTAAATCAATAGGGTTGTATAAGCTAAAGCGGCTGTAGCGCAGTGATTACAGCGCTTGCTTTACAAGCAAAAAATCCGGGGTTCGAAGCGAGCTGTGGGCTTTGCGCCATCTGTAAGGAAGGAGGCATGAAACTCCTAGTTAAAATGCTTCTTCGTGGTACTCTGTGACAAAACCGTTAGGTCTTCTTGGGGCATCTAAGATAAAAAAATTGAAATAATAATAATAATAAAAAGCTACTAAATCTTAACTATTTTAATATGGTATAAATTATAATTATCTGTTGTATGAAAATTTCATGTACAAATTGTAAATGTTTTATTTTTATATATTATACTCAATGTATAAATATGTTTATAAAAATCTTAAATGACTTTTTATGAATTTTTTACAAACTTTGTGTTTATTTGAATAGCATCAATAGAAACCTCAAAACTCATAAATTTAAACTCAAAATCGTCGGCGAAAAAAAAAAAAAAAAAAAAAAAAAAAAAAAAAAACTAAAAGAAGAAGAACTGCTACACGTTTCAATCGTTGACATATTGACTTCTTCAAACAATTATTATGAAATCTAATTTATTCGTGTTTAATTGATAAATATACTCTCAAAAAAGTATGGGTGTTGCTGAAACAAGTTTTCTTTGCGTAAGTAGGCTTATCAATAACTTTTTTTATTACTTTGCGGTTGAGTCATTTTTTTTTACTTTCTTATTATTTATTATATATACTACAAAAACATTACTAAAAAGTTTATCTTAAATACAATTTAATTAATCTGATCAAATCGTACTTATACGCCAAGTTAATGTTGTTTTTATAGTTCAAATCTTTTATATCAAAACGTGCAGGGCCGTCCCGAAGGAAGACCGAAAAGGTCTTCCTTCGGGACGGCCATGAAAGCGTGGTATCAACAGCACTGTTGTAACTAAGCGTCTTGAGATTCAAAACAAGATTGATTTAGCGTTTCAATACAATATAATCATATTTAAGACAAATGTATACAACAATTAGATTTGTTTATTAAGTAGCATATTAATAGAAAGGTCGTCAAAATGTTTAAGAGCTACGTTTGTCAGTTTGGAGCATGGACTGCTATCTTTGTTGGCTTTGCAGTTGTTGAAGTACAAATTGTTCGGATCAATTCGATTTAAAACTCGCTACAAATACAAAGGTTGATTAAAAAAAAAATTATGATACTAGAAGGATAAAGTTGTCACTTGAACTGAGAGGTTCATTAAATATTTTTTATTTTTGAAGAAAACTCAATTTTTTATTTCTTAATGTTTTACTCAAAATGAAAGTAAAGTAATAACTTTAAGCATAAAAGGTTTATATTGCGGATAGTTTCAAATAAATTCTACTAAAAAACAAAAGTTATAAATGCAACGCGCAATGATCAATTGACCTGTTTGTAACATTAATAAGTTATTAAGTGTTGTCTTCAATTTCACAAACTTTCTTTTTTTTTTTAATTTTATTAATCCTAACACAGCATTATTTTGGAGATTATGACTTATTTTAAAGTTCAAAATAATTTCACTTTTTATCTGTTTTACAAATGATTGGACTTTCTGCGCTCCAACAGAAAGAGATTTTTGTCATGCTGCAAGTTTTGATTTTAAAAAAATTTTACTTTTATACATACTTAACATTTATTTACTGTTAACAACAACAGATATTATTTGCTGTTAACAACAACAGATATTATTTCTAAGAAAGAAGTCTGTCAGCGACATTCGAATATTTTAAAGTAGTTCATAGAGATGGTCAGTACTACATGGTCATTTTTATTTAACGGTGAGGAAAGTTTTGAAAAATTAGGAAACTTATTTTAACAACGTAAAGTTTACTTCCCGGAAAATTGTAAAGTTTTACATTTTAATACTTATTTGTTTTTTAAATAGAAAATAGTTAAATATTTATTTATGCTTGGAAGAAATTTACGGAGATTTCAAATTTGCAAAACACTAAAAATCTTTTAAATGATGTTTTACTATGAAGGTCAACGTAATTATGAACAAAAAAAATGACTAAAATATGACTATGAAGGAAAAAAGATGATAAAAACTAACTTATTTTATAGATTATTCAAATTATTTTAAATGTTATTTATTATTTAAACTTTAACTTATTATATAGATTATTCTAACTGTAATCAAGTCTTACAAGATGGTGGTTGTACGTAAGTTGTTTAATAACGTTTTATAGTGATTCAAAATAACAAATTTTGACATTTTCACGAGAATGAATGCAACAGTTAAGAATAAAGATTATCACCTTTATGTTATTTGTATATACACACACACACACACACACACACACACACACACACACACACACACACACACACACACACACGCACACATATACACACACACATACACACACAAACACACACACACACACATATATATATATATATATATATATATATATATATATATATATATATATATATATATATATATATATAGAGAGAGAGAGAGAGAGAGAGAGAGAAATACTATCACCTTTATGTTATTTACCTGTCTATCTATGTACCTATCTATGTATCTATATATATATATCTATATATATATATATATATATATATATATATATATATATATATATATATAATATATATATATATATATATATATATATATATATATATATATATATATATACATATATATATATATATATATATATATATATATATACATATATATATATATATATATATATATATATATATATATATATATATATATATATATATTTATATTTATATATATGTATATATATATATATATATATATATATATATATATATATATATATATATATATATATACATATATATATATATATATATAAGTGTGTGTATGTATTTATGTTTACAGCATTGTACTCCAAACAAGAAGAAACTCTAATAGAATACGGAAAAAAACTGACGGTTTTGGATGTTGTTCCACAAGAATATATAGTCTCGTTTGAAGTAAAACCTATGTCATATAAGCCAGAATGGCAAAGTGTTTTTCATATGACACCCGGAGGCGATATGGGTTACGCTGAGAGAAACTCGGCGTTTTTTGTTGATTCTTATGGAGTTCTTTTTATAATGTCACCTATTAATGGAACAACACAGTCAACTGAAACAACTGTTCTACCTCTAATTTCATGGACTAAATTAGAAGTATCTCAATTAAAAACTAATGGAAAGTTCATATATAGCATTTCAATCAACGAAACAATTGTTTATACAACAGTTAACAATGATGCACAAAATTTTTCTAACGTTGTTGTGTACGCTGCAGATGTATATTACTCTCCCCAAAATGGGTCGATAAGATATTTATCTATCAGTGATCCTGTTCAAGGTAAGAATTTTAACATTTAAGCCTGATAACTTTATTATTAAATATATCTAAATATAAGATCTTTTTAATAAACAATAAGATTATATAAAGACTGTTATATATTAGGAAGTAACAAATATATTAAGTTTCTATAAATAATCAACAGAATAACAAAGTTGATGTTATAACAAAAAGATAAATTGAGACAAAACCTGTAAAACTTAGTGGTAAGAGTCGTTTGATTCGACTTTTTGATTTGATTTGTTTAGACTGTTCCAAGGAGCAGCTTCAAAGTTTAAAATACTGTCAAATTTTATCAAATTATAAAGTGCAATTTACTTATAATTTTCTTGGAAATAGTATTAGAAATCACGTATATATTGTCAGACACTTTACTTTGTGAAGACTCGTTGACACCCTAAACTTCAAAAATATTTTATTATACTTACGTAGTAGAATTAAAGTGGAATTTTAGACATGTTTCTTGGGTAACTATTAGAATATGTTTCCTCATTAGCTAGATAAACATATATGAAAGCATTATTGTTAGTCGTGCGTAAAAGTAAAGAACAAAGAACTTAATATAACTAAAGATATTTGTGGTCTATAACTCAACCTAATTTTGAAATTTCATAAATCGTAGATTATAACAATTTTGATTTTCAAGCTACAACTTTTGATTTTTATATTTACACCTAATTAAAACATGTACTACTAATTTTATGACATACTGAATAGTCAAACTACTGTATTTTCGATCAACTTTATAACTAGGTCTTTTCCGGTCTGTATTTTTTATATTTTTTTAGTTAATTTGAATCCGAGCTAAATTTAGCCAAAACGCTTAGTTGATGAAGCGGCGATCTCCAACTGGTAGAAGATAGTTGATGTATATATAATATAAGATAGTTATGTATGTACTGTTATACTTACTGTAGATATACTGTAGATAGTTATATATGTACTTATAAGATTATATATGTACTTATATATTATATATGTACTTATAGTCGGTCGAGATTTATCTAGATTTATCGAGATTTATTATCTGACACGAAACGTTTGCCGTTTGATTGTGCAAAAAAAGTTTTGGTTTGTATTAGCAACCAATAGCTGTTAAATAAAAATTGTAATAAAAATAAATTTAGGGGTTTTCGAAAGCCACAATTTTTTAAAAATTATAACGGAAAACAATAATAATAAAAACGCTCTTAATTGTAAAGAAAATCGTATTATAAATTTTTACGGTGTAAGACAAAAAATTATTGGAATATTTTGGTAGCAAAGATAAAAACTAGACGGTATAGTTAAAGTTCAGATAGTTATCGAGTCTTTAACTAAATAAAAAACGATCGAGTTTAATATAGGGAAGCAGAAAAGTCTTTAAAAGGAATAATATTTTTTTCGGGCCACCCAGTGTGTTGCGAGATCACTAGACTTATTAGTTTGTGTAATTTGTAACAAAATTACTTTACTTTCTGAAGAAACATTGAAAAAATGTCAATCAATTTTGAAACTGCGAGACAAAAACATTGCTTCAAATACAAAGACATTATTTTACCTTGTGAATATACTGACAATGGTTATGCATTTGCAGGACTCATAAAACATTTTTTTTACTTCTCAATCTCAAAAAAGTTCTAAAAAATTCTATGAAACAAAAGACAAAAAAATGGAAAAAGATTATTTAAAAAGTTAATTTATTTTTTATTTTAATGATTTTTTTATTCTTTATTATTATTTATTTTAATGATTTTTTTTATTTGAAGTTATTATTTTTAATAGTTTTTAATCAAGAGTTTTTTTTTTAATATTTTTATTTATTGTAAATTTTAAATAAAAATTATAATAAATAAAAATAACTCTTAATAAAAAATTAAATTATTAAGAACATTGTAATAGCATATTACTTTTTGGTTTAGAAACCACGTTTGACATAGAACCTCTAGTTAATATAACTTACAAAGGAGTTCTAAAAAGGTAATTTCTTTAAGTAACTCTATAGTAAATTTATTATTTGTTGTAACAACTTGCAGCTAGTATATGTTTTTATGTAATTATTTTTGTATTTGTGCTTTAAAAAATTAAATTGAAGATGAATAAGGAAACCGATAAAATTGATGAACAGTATAGTGTTGATTTGTTTCAATTTGTATTTTACTTGTTATCTTTTTAAAATACAAAAACATAAACCAGATGACAATTTTATTTAAAAATAAAATTTTTTAATATTTACTCTGTAAAGTAAGCCGTTTTAAGGTTTTACCATTATTAATGATTAAGGCAAAAAAAAGTATAAAAAACAAAAAACATTTCGTTGTAAAATTTATTTTTCAACATAAAGTTTATTTAAACTGCAGGAAAAAAAAAAAAAGAAAAAAAATGTAACATTTTTTAATGCTGAATCAGCAAAAATAATCTTAAAAAAATCACTTTCTTAACACAAAGAGTTCTAGCTATATGTAGATTAGTTTTGCATGAACTTTGGTGTGCCTGCAAAATATATACAAAACTAGCATGTGAACCAGTAAAAACTTATAGTTATTTTTAGATACTTAAAGGCAGGTGTACATATTTGGGGAATATAAAAAAGGTGTAAAATTTGACAAAAACCATCCCATAATTTTTTAAATACTGAAAAATTAATTTGATTTTGGTTCACATACTAACAAATACAGAGACAAACAAACCTTGAAAATTTCATTCAAAAGTTAGTAATAAAAGTTGAGATGTGTTTTAAGTATGAAAAATTAAAAACAGAGAAAACTAAAAAAATAGAAAAAGTATTTTCAAAATGATACTAAAAAGTAACTAATTTTCTGCCTTTACTTTTCTTTATCAATAAATCCTTCAAAACATTAAAGATTTTGCTTCCTAAAGGAAAAAATTGTTTTCTATTTTTGGCACATAGAACAAAAAATTAGTTTTATCAAAAATACCTTTTACATCAAAAAAAAATGAAGAAATTAAAAGGCGTTTGTTCCTCTGTAAATAAAAAGTGATTTGGAAAATTTTTTTCTTTTTCCAAATTAGAAAAAAATAAAATATATTTACTCGTCAAAGTAAATTTAATTGATGGAAATATTCTCCATACTTTTTTGAATGACTTAAAGCATTAACTAACCATTCTATCACATGATACATTTTATACATATAAAGATGATCGTCAACTTTTACATTCAAAACAAGCACACAATGAAAAAACAATTTCAAATAAAAAATTTCACTCCATCTAAATGATTCAAAAGTTGATTGCAATAACGAGAATTTTTTTGATCCATGAATTAATTTAAAATCTTTCCACTCAGGAAAATTTTCTCTTATAATATTTTTTACAAAATAATTAAACTGAACGTCATTTTCAAGTTTTTTAAAATAATAAAAATAATTGTCAACACCGTTGTCACTATTTTGTTGTGTCTTTTTGCGGAAAACACTAAATCCAATCCTTCAATGTGCAATCTAAATTTTACTGACCAATGCAATTTCCAAAGGAAAAATAGTTGTACTTTAAAATAAAAGAAACTCTGAGATTTTTAATAATATTTAATAACATTTGTATTTAATATTTATTATTAATCATGTTATTATTAATAATATTTTCGTTTAATATCAATTTGATAACATTTATATCCCATTGTAAATGCCGTAATCGGGTCTAGAATTTTTAAAAACTGTTCAAACAGCACATTGACGGATTGGATTTAATGTTTCCCTCATTTGCATGCCTCGATATATCAAGTTGCCTTCATTGACCGCACTTATGTCACTGATTTCATTTTGTTTTACTTCCAGCTTGAGTTGAAACATCGACAAAACTGATTTTTACTTACAATACTTGAAATCATTACACTTCCATTATTTTTAATTCAAAATTCAAAATATTGGTTTTTTTAATCTAAAAATTATAATTCAAGACATTTTTATTTATTTTTTCCCCATCTGTTGACTTTTCAATAACTTTTTTACTTTTTACACTAGGTTTTATTTTTTGATAATAACGCGGAATTGTAACTTCTGTGATTTGATTTTTCGAACCAGTTCGATCATTATATACTTGACTAATTATTTAACTTTTCTTTTCTCCATCAAGACCGGCGCGGTGGGGGTTGTGGGGTGTGTGATACTCCCCACAATCCCATCAATGATTTTAGTCGGTAAATTTGACCCTTTTTGGCTATTTAGTCGGCAAATGTAGACCCTTTCGACAGGTTAGTCGGTAAATTGAGACAGTCAGTCGGCAAATTATGTTGTTATGGCAGTCAGAGGGTAGTTGGCAAATTTTAAAAAACAAGGCCCTTTTTTTTTTTTTTTAAGTCAGCAAAAGTTTTAATGACCCTCAACCCCCCCCCCTCCCCTACGTGGCACCTACTTGCGCCGGCTCTGTTCTCCATAATATAAGTAAATAAAATAAACTCAAAGCAAAAATAAATTAAAGTAAAACATTATTACTTACCGACATTTTTTTTTTGTTAAAATAAAGTTAACTTTCTTTTATTACTATCTACTTTTGAGTCAATGTACTTTTCAGAAAAAAAACATGGCAACAAACCAATCTTACTTTTCCCGTTAGGTTTTTCCAAGAATATTTTTATCATTTTTTTATAACAACAATAAATTGAATCATTATTTTTAAAACATATGCATATTGATTGTTCCTTTTTTTTATTAAACACAATTTTTTTATAAAAAAAAAAAAAAAGTAATACAATTTTTTAATTATATTCTTCCTCCAATTCAACTCTTTTTGTCTTTCTTTTTTTTTCGTATCTGGTTCGCCCTTTTTAGTCAGTTTTGAAATAATGTCCCCTATTTTTCCATCGACGCATTCATTTTTATTTCCGTCTTGGTCGCATTCAACTGCTTCAGTCATTGTCTCCATAGCATCTTCATAATCGTCATGCGTATAACAAAACTTGTCTGAAGAACATTCTTCAAAACAATATAATAATATTGTATTGTTTTGTTTTGAAGAAATAAACATTTATAGTTATTTTATTGCTTTGATTAAAAACAGTAACAATAACTAATGTATTGTTTTTTTTCTAGCAATACATTGAAGGTCTAAAACTATTATATTGTATTGCTGTGATGTAAAACAATTACAATAACTTTTGTATTTTATTGCTGAGATAAAAAACAATTGCAATAACTATTGTGGTATATTTTATTACTATTTCAAAGTCCAATAGCTATTGTATTTTAAAGTATTTAGATTTTTTTTCCGCGCATTTATTATTACTTGGGCACTAAAAAATTCAGAGGTGGTCGTGACGATCGTTTTTAGCAGTCATTTATATATATATATATATATATATATATATATATATATATATATATATATATATATATATATATATATATATATATATATATATATATATATATATATATATATATATATATATATATATATATATATATATATATATATATATATATATATATATATATATATATATATATATATATATAAATTTTATTTACTTTGAGAAGTAAAGTGAAGTCAGGAAAGCCAAAGAAGTATATATATTACGTATACTTAATAAAAATTAAGTTCAGGAGCGCTCGTGGCAACAGTTTCTATTTACATATTTAAATTGTATTTATTTTGATTTAAATACAGAAGTGTGAAAATTATTAGACTCAACTAAGTTTTTCTTAATAAAAATAGTTTTTATATTCTAAAAGGAATTTATTGAACAATTTAAAGTTACATTAATACTTTGTATGGATGTCTTTGGCCTTAAGTAACATTTCTATACGCTTTAACACGCTTTCTACAAGAACTGGACATTTATTTTTTATTTCCTTATTATGGTGCCATATTTTGATCAATTAATTTGTTCAATCAATTGAACTTTTGTGGAAATAATAGTTTTCTTTAACCTCTTCTTAACAACCGCCCATAAATTCTCTATGGGGTTCATATCTGGGCTGTTCCCTCGTTATGGCAATGTTTGAACATGGTTTAATCGTAGAACTGCAAATATCAACACCATACTACTCCAATGACTTTTTTAAGTCTTCACTAGTGGCTCTTCTATTCACTTTAGCCATAGGATAAGTTTGCGTTGGGTTCTCGGGCTCACTTTGGACTTGCGTCCACAATTTCCTTGTCGTGCAGAATTGTAATCTTGCCCATTTTTAATAGTCTGGCTAATACAGCTTATAGATTTCTCAGGAATTTGTAATCTTGAAGCTATTGCTATGTGATTACGTTTTTCTCTTCAAGCAATGTTTAGTAACAGTAACTTTTCTAGGTGAAAGATTTTTGGTTATCCCCATAACCACAAAATCTGTAGAAAAAACAAAGCAATTTCTAATCAAACATATTATACATTTTAAAATGGAAGTAGCAAATAAAGACTAATATGTTTATGGTTAACCATAATGATTTAATTAAACTCACCTTCGGCTTTTGTTTTAAGGAACATATTTACAGTAAAAATTCTCCTTACAACAGCTGATTGACCACCTTTATGTTTATAGCAGTGATGGCAACCCACCAAGCTTATGCATGATTACCAAGTTACTAAAGGCTAAAGGCATGCATACAAAGTATTAATGTAACTTTAAATTGTTCAATAAATTCCTTTTAGAATTTAAAAACTATTTTTATTAAAAAAAACCTAGTTGAGTCTAATAATGTTCACACTTCTGTAATACAACTATTTAAAAAATAGTTTATTTAGACTTAACATAAATAATATTCATTCAAAATCATACAATTACATAATTTATCATATGTTTGTAATTAAATAATTATTTACTTTGCAAAGTGAAATTTTTGATTTTTTATAATTTTGTCTAAACAGATATTAAAATGTTTCACCGGACGATGACGTCTAAACTAATTGATTTTGTTTTTCAATATAACTAATCGCTAATGAGTAATAAATTACAGTGTTATGAAATCAGAGAACCATGGACCTGGGTAATTATTGATTAAATTGTCTAAAAATGTGAACTACTATTTTGTTTTGCAAAAAATTCTACATTTTCAGATTACTCATCACCTATCAGACCGTACCAGTAAATTTTGCAGGAGTCATTTTTGAAAAATGAGGCAGTTTAGAATACCAAATAAGTATTGTTTTTGATTTATTTAATAAAATTCTTGAAAAGCTTTGCAACTAGATGTCAAGTTACTTTATGAAACACATACAGCCATAAAAGCCTCAAGGAAACAAAAGACAAAGTTATATTAGAGTAAGTGTTAGTTGAGTAAGTGTTGAAACAATTGGATAGATGACTAATGTAAAAAAAAATAAACAAGTGGAAGAAAATAGTAATAATTGTACATGTCTATCCCCAGCAGTAACAAAAGTACAGCTCAGATCAAACTCACTTTTATAGAGCTATATAAAGCTTGCAACGAGGACAAGTGATATTCATTAAATAAAATAGAAATAGAATATATTAGCTATGTCTTATTTCAAGGTCACATATCTTGGAGACTGGACTGTTAAAACCTTTACTAAAATTTGATATTGCAATAATTTTTATTACAATAACAATAAATTGTTATTGTATTATAAAGATGAGTTACAATGCAATATTTATTGTTATTGTAGTGGGTCATTACAATACATTTTTTTTTTAGATATTGTTATTGTTTATAAAAATGAATTGCATACAATATTTATTGTTATTGTATTACAGTGATAAAATAATTGTAAATTACAAGTATTGTTATTGTTTTTAAAAAAGTTAATAGAATAACAATAGTTATTGTTTCTGTTATTTTTTTCATTACGATTATAACAGTCCGAACTCTAGCTAAGTCCACCCACTTAGAAATTTTTTTTTTATTAAGTTCAGTCGCCTTTACCGTAAACCAAGAATCTTTTGTTGGGCGAACTTCTTCGTCGCTATTTTTCTTTTTTCGTAAAATATGAGAATAATGCGCACCAAACATGTAATTACACGATACACTTCCCACATGTGTCTCAATTGTACCTTTATTGGCAACAAAATTATAAAGTCTCTCACTATTATAGCAAATCAACCATTTTCCATTTAAAATGTCATATTTTGCCATTTTTATACATTTAACTTTTGTAAAACCTTTTTGATTCTCCTTAGATGCAACCCTGTAGAAACCTGGTGTGTAATCTTGAGAAAGAACCCCATTTGAAAGAGTTTGCGTTATCCATTCTCTTTGCTTCATACATTTTTTTTTTCTTTTAAAATTTTGATTTGCAGAATATTGGTAGCAGGAGATTTTTGCCAATTGGCACCCATTCCAAAACCAGGCGAAAGTATAGTTTTTCCATTTTAACATTTAATATGAGAAAAATCAGATTTTATTAATGTTATTATTTATAAAAATTTTCGACAAGTCAACAACTTTGACTTTCAAAGTCATTTGAACAATTTAAGATCAGGTAAAATATATCCTATTACACGTTTTGTAACGTCGTTTATTAGAGGGTTTTTTATTAACGAAGAAAAATACATTTATAATAAATTACATATGAACAATCTTCCTGGTGATCCTTTCAAACTTCGTCATCGTTTAAACTTTTATAAAGATGGAAAAAAATAAAACTTAAATTACAACGAAAAAACTGTAGCTTATTGAAAGTTTTTAAATGAAAATACGTATAATAAGAATGGGTTTTTAAAACAACTCCAAATTTAGTAATAAAACAAAACGCACAAGTTATGATTACGAGAAATATCAAAGTTTTTTCATCGAAAAAACTTTGATCTTTTACATCAAAAGTTGACAACGGGTAAAACACAAGTTGCGCAAAAGCAAATCCTTTTTCAAAATAGTATGATGCTCCACTCTCTGATAAACGATTATGTTACCTGTGTAATCTGGATCAATAACTCCATTAAATACTTCAATCCCCTTTCGCCACATGTTTGATTTATTTTTTATTTCCATAAAATATCTTTTTTTATTTCTATAAAATACCATTTTGGTGGACATATTTTCATTTTAAAATCAATCGCAAAACGTTGCTGACTTTCAACACTAACATCATAAGGAAGAAACAAATCGTAACCTGCAGAATTTTCAAATCTATTAATAGTTTGAGTTGTGTTCTTTGCTTTCTTCATTGTTACAA